GACCAAAAATTAAGTACAATATAACTCTTCTTATTATAGTAAATTATAATAACGCAGCCTCCTTTTACTTTTCTTAAAAAAAAAAAAAACCCCCCTTTCAACCAACTTGTGTATCAAAAAAGTATTGTAACTAATAATAAGTAAAAAAAAGGGATCATTTTATAATAATCTAAGTATTTAAGATAACTGATCACTTAAATTATCTCTCGTCTACAAATTAATTACAACATTTATATGTTGACATTGGGAGATATTCTCTCGACCAATTAGCTCTCTCTCTCTCTCTCTCTCTCTCTCTATATATATATATATATATATATATATATATATATATCAACTACAAATTTGTGATATATACTTGTCTATTTTTAATCTTAACCCCATAGAATGAATCCCCAAAATCTTTTTTGTTGTCTATCTTCCTTAGCTACATGATTTTGAGGGGCAATTAATTATAACGTGCTCAGCTGCAGTGCTGCAAAATGCTAAAAAGAGCATGACCATTACTTATCAATGATTATAACAAACGCATATATGCTTCGACCAATTAAGTAAAGCTCATTAAGTGATTTACGTCTTAACTCCTAGAAGAGGGTACAATAAATTGAAGTCCTGCAGCATATTTGGGGACTCCAAAAACAGGAAATTCCGGCAGCTCTGTTTCGTTTAACTTTTAAGTTTCCTCAACGAAAATGGGCATCGTGATCCCATTACCGCAGAAAGTACCTCCGTGGTCCGCCCTATGTAATGTACAAGAATCTCAGTGGAGTAGAGAGTAGTGACCATTTAATTTTCCCCAAAGTTTAATTACTAGTCTATAGGATTCTTCATTGTTTTGTGTCTGTTACATTGTGTGTAGGGCCCACGATTTGGCCACCACCATTCATGAAATCGACGAGGATACAACAATGCCGTCATTAAATCCCATAGATTACGAGAAGATTTCCTTTACGATGTAATAAAACACGGAATTCAATTTGAAGGAGGGGAAACGGGGAGCTGCACCCAAGTTTCTAGACTCCCAACGGTAATGGTGCTAGGGATGGGGACATTACATCAAACGATGGGGACATGGAAATCTAATAAGATACCAAAGGCTTGTGGGGGCCAGATTCCGCCATCCATTGAATCTCAATCGCACGATTCCCTATAACCCTCCCCCGGGATCGTATCATCCGGCAGGCAATATGACGGACGAGGGAAAGGGAAGGGAGAGGTGTGGTAAATGAGGGAGAGAGAGAGACTGCAGTAATGTCGTGCTCGTATATTTCGTGGGTGCTCGTAAATGATGTTTCAGATTGGGAAGTAAATGAAGTTGAGGAGGCCCCAGCTTATTTATTTGTAGAGGCTTTTGGTTTAAAATTTTGTCCCACATTCCTCCTTCTCCTTGGGTGTTATACGTTTGTAGCGAGTGATAAAACGATAAAGAGTTGTACTATTCGCTTTTAACTTTTGTGTAAAGCATAAAAAGCGTAGTTATGGACAATGAAGCTGATTTCACGTTGGCTGCAAAATGAGAGTTTTTCAAAATTTGACGCCATTGGCTAGCTGATGGTTATCAATCTCCAACGAAGCTAGGCTCGCTACATCCTTTTGCAACACTGTTTTGGTTCTGACCTGACATGACCTGCTTTCAATTAATAGAATGTGTTGTAAGCCCTAGCTAGGTCCCTGCCTGTTTATAGCCTCAAAATGAACAGACCAAAAAGATATTATGCATGCAATTGCTATATATGTATCACGCTTGCAAAGCCTAGAATGAATAATCCAAATGACCTAGATGTGTAGAATTTGACACCTTGACTCCACAGGTAGTGTAATACAAGTTAAGACTCCTTATTTATAATAAATATATATATGGTAAATCTCATCTCAGAGGTTTCAATTTGCTTATTTTGCTACATGTTTTTTTTTACCAGAGATGGAATTTTAAGACATGGTATCTCTACATGATGTTAACTGTTTACAATATATCAGGACAACATGCATGTTTTTGCTAGATATACGGCAGAAGTTATCAAAGGTTTTTTTTTTTTTTCTTGTTTGAGGAAGAATTAAAGGTCTTAAAAATCATGCGTTTGGGATGCTGTACAAAGGTGGAGGTTTTTTCCACCTCTGCTGGTTATGGGATGCTGTACATGTTTGATTTTTAGAGTCTTGAGGGGCTGCTTTTGCAGGTTTTTGTATTATCCCAGGATCTTTGCTTAGAACAAAATGCTTCTCTGCTTCTCTCTTGAATTATGAATGAATATTTCAGTTTTTTAAAAAAGAAATCACGCGTTTGGCATATTTAGTACACAGGGAAGTCAGGGAATCGAAATATTTTCATGATGGTTCAATGATTTCAAAAAAAAAAACAAAAACTTTTACAAGTACTAAGAATCAAACGTGAATAAAATTAAACGTAGCAAAAATGCCGATTGGTCTGTCAAGTGAGAGAAGGAGATGGAGAGAGGGGTGGGGGCGGTTGTTGAGGATGGTAAATGTGAAAATTGATGGATGATTGGAAAAGTTGGATAAAAATGAAGGGAGTAGTGATTGTGATAAACCCGAAAAATAGGTAGCTATTCTAACTTAAATGAAACGCACTCCCATGCAGAGCTTGCAATAACTCCAGCCTCTCTTTTTCCCTCCCTTTCTTACTCTGACTGCACTGCCAGCATGACCTCCCCTCCCCTCCCCTAGACATTTGATAAACGGAAACAAAAATATAAACTAGTAATTAAGTATAAAATAATAAAACGTAGAATGGGGTTGAAAAATCAACCGATCATCGTAGGCACGGAGATGCCGTGTCTGCTCATTGAAAGCCACCTTCTTTATGATATTTAAACAGACAAGTTGCAGACTTTTGGACAGTATACGCTTCGTCATAAACTTTTCCTTTCTCTCTCTCATACTCTCATGCTTACTCACGCTTATGTTCACTTTGTCGTGTTTTCAATGCTGTAATAAATAAAAATTCCACCAGCCATGAGCCACCCGAGTTTACTTCATTATTTCTTTCTTTCGTTTCTTAAATTTTTGTAGCCCTATTCAATGCTACCTATTTCTTTTGTACATTACTATTGATTATAATATATCTAGGACTTGATTTATAGCTTTAATATTACCGGGCTTCAGTTGGCATGTAAGAAGCCTGATGTAGGGTTCTAAAAGCCTGCTTCAAACTAGCGTTTCCAAAGTAGAACAAGGAAAAAAGGCGAGTTGGAAGGCCACTGTGTTTTTCTCCCTAAAAAAAACAAACGTAAAGGTCAGGGCATCAGCATGTAGCTACCAATTGGGATTGACGGCTTTCACCGATCAATGCATAAAGAAAGAAGAGAGTTCACTTCACATTGTATTAAGGCTGTTTCTCTTTCTCAGTACTGAGACTTTCTTCACCGAATATTCCCACTCCACTGCCTTTTTGCGTTGCAGAATAGTGGTTTACAGTTCTTTCCGGTTCCCCTTTTCCCCAACCACGAAATATATAATTCTTCACTTCTTTAATTCCCCACCTTGGCCAAGATGGAGTTAAGGGGAGAGGGGCAACTATCCCTTACTGTGTTACTTGTATTCATATTTGCGAACCTATCACCAACATTTACCTATAAATATATATTCTCCTAGTTTAAATTGGTAGGATTTAATGCATTATCCAACTCCTGTTTCCTTAATATACTTTTTTTTTTCTGAAAAGATTTCCTTGATATAGTAATTAGGGGAAACAAATCTATGAGGAAGGACAGATGGATCACATCATCTGCTATGAGCTTATGGCATATTACGTAATGCAGTCCATTTAGAAACGAGAAAAATAAGTACTTTTAAATATAAATCATCAGTTATATATATATATATGCACATATTTGTTTAATCTTAATATATGTATGATCTTTCATTCTAAGCTAAACTTCTCTCGTTACGGTTAAAGTTAAGTTCCTACATAATTGTATGCGTATGCCCATGCTGTTAAGTATAAATCCAGGGAGAAAGCTGTCCAACTTTGCTCGGATTTGACTTTTGGTAAGTGTTCAAAAAAAAAGAAGATATATTATATATGAACAAGGCATTAATTTCTTAAAAATGAATATGTGGGTCCCTTAGATGTCAACAATAAAATAACATTATTTGTTTTTTGAATTAATTGGTTTATATAATAATAATAATAATAAAAAATAGGCGGACCGCTGAATGAATATTGCAAAACTAATTAGTAGAAACGGAAGACAGCAACCTGACAGGCAGCACATTCGGAATTGAAGAACCTCCTTCAATTTGAACCTAACGATTACTTTGGGTATCTTTGTCATTTTACGTTAATCTGTCTCCACATACATTAATGAATCAAAATATTGCATGCTCCAATTGAGAGATTCTCCTGTTTTTAGTTAACAAAAGCATATAATATATATATATATATATATATTCCCTCCAAAATTAAATATCAAAAAAGATAGTGCTAACTAATAAATTTCTATAAATAATGCAACTTCTCCTACTTTAAGAATCATGAAGCAAAACAAATACTTACTAGTAGTAAATTTGGTACAAGAGCAAAAGAATATAAACATAAAGCTGTACCAAAAGAAACCTAAAAAAAAAAGAAATTAATATACTATAAGCCCATAAAAAGGGCGTGAAATAAATGCATGTAGCTATATGCATGGAAGACATGAATAGCGTGAGAACCATCTCAATCAAAAGAAGAACAAAACAGCACGAAACATATTTTAGCATTGAGCATCCAAAATGAACATTAAAGTTCCAATATGAGTTATATGCTTTAAATATTAAGAATACAAAATTATTTTCCTTGTTTAATTGATATCACCATTTTTTCTTTTATTTATTTTATATATATATATATATTTCCCCAACATAAAAAAATAAATAAAATAAGTTGAAGGAAAATTCATCATATCGAGTCATTAAATTCGTATTAATTTTCATGATGAACATCAACATATATACTAGCTTATTTATCGCCCTCTAGCTCCCACCCTGTCTTCCGTTTTTTGAGTTTGAATATTGCCTCAGCCCAGAGTTTGGTACGGTTTCTCACTACCACCCATTATTAGCTTCGAAAACTTTAGGCGGGCGCAGCCGGCCATGATTCGCCGTGAGATCCCCAGCATCTAACGGTGGCAAGTATTAAAAAACCCCGTAAGACTTTAGATACCCGTCCAAAAAAAGAGTGCTTGATGGTGATAGTTTTGTCCCTTTCACTGCAGCTCTTATGTTTACTCCTTTTAGCAAACATTTTCTTTCTTGATCTTGACAATTTCCGCATCTCCATCTGAGTCTTTTTCTCACGGTTTTCTTTCACTTCACTCTCTCTTCTCGTCTTCCCACTCCAGTCTGTTTGATTGTTCTATCTTTTTTCCCAAAAGCCAAAACAAACTTTTAAAGACATCATTACAAGAAAGACCGTTTTCCGAGAAAAAAGAAGATACCACTCCTAGTCGCAGAAGAAGAAACACAAGATACTATTTGGGAACACTTTCCAATGGATGATACTTTATGTGACTTTCTCGAAGAGCCTGAGTTTGGAGAAACCAACCTTGCCGGAGATGACCTGTTTGCTCTTTTTGAGGGTTTAGATGGTCTCCCTGAATTTCCACCCTTCACTCCATTGGAAGAAACGGGCGCTGCTACCCAAAAAGATGGCGAGGAAGCTACGAGGTTGGTGTCCCAGAAGTCTACTTCTTCCAGCGCTCAACAGGAGTCGGAGACTGAGCCTGAAACTCCACCTAAGAGCAAGAGGCAGAAGCTAGCTTCTTCGGAGGAAACCAACCCAGATGGGCAACAACGAATGTCTCATATTACGGTTGAGCGCAACAGGAGGAAGCAAATGAACGAACATTTATCGGTGTTGAGATCGTTGATGCCTTGCTTCTATGTGAAAAGAGTAAGGCACATTGTCTTTCTTGTTTTACTACAGTTTTAAAAGCTTTTTTTTTTTTTCTCTTTTTCTGAATGCTATTATTTGAGTTTGTTCTCTGTGTTTAAGCGTTATGTACAGGACAATAATCCTAATAATAACATTGCATTTAAAGCTTAAACTATTATCTCGGTTCATTTCATCCTTTGGTCTTTTCCCATATACAAGCATACTATTGTTTTAGGATACTGAAATTCTCCCATACTATTGTTTTAAACTATTGTCCGAGTAGGGTTGATTGAGGGGTATTTGGAGATCTTGCATGCATGGTCAAGTTTTTCTTTTTCTTTTTTTTTTTTTTGGGTTAAAGTTTGTATTGCATTATGTCTTAGGGAGATCAAGCATCGATTATTGGGGGCGTCGTGGATTACATCAACGAGTTGCAACAAGTTCTACAATCGCTAGAGGCCAAGAAACAAAGAAAAGTTTACAGTGAGGTGTTAAGCCCTAGGATAGTTTCAAGTCCAAGACCCTCACCTCTCAGCCCTAGAAAACCACCTCTAAGTCCAAGAATTAACTTGCCGATAAGCCCAAGAACCCCTCAACCCGGTAGCCCTTACAGGCCGAGGTTGCAGCAAGGCTACCTCTCTCCGACCATGACTAGTTCGCTCGAACCTTCTCCTACTTCTTCCGCTTCCTCCGTGGACAACGTCAACGAGCTCGTTGCAAACTCCAAGTCTCCGATTGCTGATGTGGAAGTCAAGTTTTCGGGCCCAAATCTTCTTTTGAAGACGGTATCCCCTCGGATCCCTGGTCAAGCTGTGAAAATAATCTCCGCCCTTGAGGACCTCTCGCTCGAAATTCTCCATGTCAACATTAACACCGCTGATGAAACCATGCTTAATTCCTTCACCATCAAGGTACAAACTCTAGCCCCGCTACGCTAATAGTTTGTCATATATACTAACCGTAACTGTAGGACCTTTACTAGTGTAAAAGATAGTAAAATATTTTTATTAAACTATTAGGAACATATAATTTCTTGGTAACATATAGTATATAATTAAATGAACATTCTTATGATAAAATATGTAAATTTTGGTGTACATAAATAGATAAATATTTTGAAATTTTAATTTTATGATATATATATTTGCATTTGTTGTCCTCTTAATATCAGCATTTTAACCTTTCCATTAAACAAATCACGTTCTTAAGTATTAGTATCTGATCTGATACTACTGAAAAGAAAGAAAGACAAAAAAAAAAAAAAAAAGCAAAGCGAAGCGAAGGGGCGAGGAGGTATCCTATTTCTCATTGATATCACCAACAGACAACGCAGGTGCCCTGGAATTTGTTAGGTTTCAATCATTTCTTTTGGTGCAATGATTTTTTTTTTTTCTAAAAGTTGTAACTTTTATTTTGTTTCAATATTTCAGTCTGTTTTAATTTGTCTCTACCATGTCTGTGGATTTTGTTGTTTCTGTCTTTACTGCACTTCCAGGGGACCTAATAAACCATCTTTGTTTTTGAATGATTTCCTTCGTCATTTAGAAAATAAGAACATTAGGAAAGCAGGATCCACCGTCCAGGATAATTTTGTTCATAAGTAAAGTTGAATTATTTGCAGTAGTTGTCACACAAACCTAAAACTGACGTTGGCGTACTGCAATGGTACTGACTGTAAAACTTTACCTACTACATTGCTCTTGAAAAAAACGACGGATCGCTGAAAAGTAGGCTATCTTTGCAGTCACATTTTTTATTTTGCTGTATCAGTCTTTGCAGTTACTTTGATGTTTCACTGAGTTGGAATTTATTCAGAGGGAAGTGTTAGGTTTATGTTTGTCTTGAAATGTATTCAATTAGCTAATGATTAAATCGTCTGCATTGTTTTGTTTTATTCTATAACAGATTGGAATTGAATGCCAACTGAGTGCAGAAGAACTCGCTCACCAAGTCCAGCAAACATTCTGCTAAGCTTTACTCATCATAGTTTTCACCCTTTCCAGGCTCAAGCTTCTACCCCTAACAAGACTCTTCCTCTCTAATCTGTTTCAAAAAGCTGCTACAATAAAATAAAAAACAGAAGAGTATGGAAGGGCATTGGCATTTTACCTTCATTTCCTATATATTAACAACTTAATGTAATTGTAGATTAGTGATCATGACTTGCATCACCTAGTGTAACACCCTTGTAATTTTTGCAGTCTCAAGGTTTAATTATTTTGCATATTTGCATGTACGGACATAACATATCCATTTGTTATTAAGTTAATTGTTATTATCTTTTTGGAAACTCAAGGCTCTCGCTATATGCTACTTAATTTCCATTACCAAAAATGAAATAAACAACTACAACATTCAAGTAGCATAACATAGAGATATGATGAACTAGACAACACCTACCTTCTGAAGACTTGAAGAAATAAGTAGGCCAAGACTCGAGATTCAGGCCTCAAGCCTTTACTTTTGATCCTACAAGCTAGATTAAACCATTCTTTTCCAGAAGTACAATTTCAGAGACATGCAAGTTTCAATTTGCATTTGAGTCAAAGCATTGTAATTTCTTTCCTCTGGTGTTTGCAATCCAAATTAATAAATAGGTGCTTAAGCTTGTTAGTGAAACTGACAATGGAATAACTAAAATTGCATAAGTTTTGACTATTTAGAGACCAAGCTGAGGGGCAAGATTGCTGTCTTGTTGTACGTCAACAGCGGGTGGACGTCCAAATAGCTAGGTCAGGATGGAGTATTTCGGCAACACCTGGTTAGCTGAGTTTGCGCCTTGGAATTAAATATGCTGCATGTTGGAAACAAGGGAAACAGGCATGGGTACCTAATTAACTTGCTAGTCAACCAACATATATTTTGTTCTGATTAGGTTTGTTTTTTTTTTCTTTTGGTAGAACCAAGCTTAGTATTATATATACTAGATATGACAAGTCTTGTCAATTGTGACCCACCACTCGTACGGGCCATTAGTAATATGACTTGTTCAAGGTTAAATCTCATAATAGCTCTTCTTTGATGGCTCCACATGGAAACTTGACCACCTCTTTTGACCTGTAACACTCAGATGTATCCATATGATACGACCTAAGAGTCCATCAAGGTTTTTTTTTAATATATATTAGGTTATAGATTATTATTGATTGAGTAATTTTGAACTTTCAAAAAAGGATACTTTCCGTTTTGAACTGTAATGCTCCAAGCTGGAGGAGGACGAGCTCAACAACTAGTGTAAAAGATCAAATTAATTACATGATTCTTCAAAATCTAAGCTCAATGATAAATTGGCTATCATGATTCTTCAAAACTAAGCTAGCTAATTGTACATTTCGAAGAGGATCCTCATGCGAGTAATTAACTAGGATTAGCTCAACCATATAATAATCTTGTGTTATAATTTCGCTCAATAAATTACTAAGCTCTTATAAAAGTTTATTTGTTATACTGTTTCTTTTAGGAATAGATTCCAAGTCATTCTATATTCTCAGCAGGTAGTTATGTAAATTCATACTTGAAATTTCCAAAGAGTTCATATTTCAAATTTCCCTTTACAAAGGAATGAAAATTGAAAACAAAATTTGTCTAAAAAAATAAATAAATAAAGTGTGACAATAGTCCCATGCAAGCTTGAACGAGATTGCTCAGCAGCAGACTAGCACGCCCAAATTTTGCATGACTGCCTTAAAAGAGGCTTAGGGACCACTGAAAACAGTTCCAAGGTGTTATGTATATATTTTTTGTCTTGCAGTCTAACTCAGGTTTGGACCACCTAAAGAAATCGTTTCTCAGCAGCTCAAAAGCAGAAGAGGAATGATACTTCTGTTTCAAATTGGAATGGACTACTCACCCCAAAAATTGCATATGAAAACGGTGGCTCATTGCACTGTAATCATGGACGTCGGTTTGTGGAAATTTCTGTGAGAGGCAAGAGAATTCTAGGGCTTAATCAGAAAACCTGATAGCCCGCCTTGCGTTCGATTCCTTTTTTGGGTGAATTTTAATCTCACAGTGTTGGGTTCAGAATCAAACTTTGGGCTATTGGGCTGCCCCTTGAAATTTTCTGGGCTTACATCCATTTCCTTTAATCTGTGTCGTCAGTTGCGATAAGATGGCAGATGAAACAAGGGAAGGGCGTTTTTAGTCCATCTTTCTGTCACCTAGGCCCAGTAAATATTCATGTCGGTTTGTCGAACCCAAAACAACGCGGTAGGGATTTTAAAATTGCAGCAAATCCTTTACGGAGAAATTATTTAGAATTTATTATAAATATTAATTTATATCATATATATATATATCAAGATTTAGATATAAATTAGATTAGATGAAAATTAAAATTTAATCCACTCATCTAATCCCTTAATATTACTTTTATTTTATAAATTAAATCTAAATAAATGGTAATTAACTTGTAAGTACTCTTTTCATTTTATTTGTAACTACACTTGAATAAGATTTTTTAACTCATTCTAAATATATTTTTTTCTTTAAATATTTTCTCTTATATTTCTCTTATACTTATTCTCTTAAGATTTATTTTATAACAAAATTAAAAATACTAGATTGATTTCTTTTTATTGAAAAAAAGTTACAATAAAATGAAAAGGAAAGAAAAAGAAAAGTACAGTCTACATTGGCTTTAAGACATCAGAGACCTTTATGTGACAGGACCATAAAATTCAACTCTTCTTCGTTACAGAGTTGAGTTAGACAAAAATAAAATAAAAAATAAAGAAAAACATCTTATTCTAAGGGAAAAATGAGACTGTCCTGTTATATTGGCCGACTGAAATCGCTGAGTGCAGCGAAAAAAGGGTTTCTTAGCATTAAGAAAAGAAGCCATGGTTGTCAAATGTGAAGTTTGGGTCGAATTCGGGATTACCAAATGGGAATGGAGAGTTTGTTGCTGAGGTAGCAGCTTGAATAATCTCAGTGCTAAGCTGAGGCTCAGAGGTACTTGGAAAATTAATGTTTCCCGGCACAGTGTTGTTCATCCCGCTTGGACTTGGAGACATAGAGAAATAGCCAGTCCCGGATGTTGCAGGCGATATAAAAGAAGTTGACAGATTTCCCACCACATTGTTGTCGATCACAGATGGTGAAAAGACATTGTTTTCAAGCTTTATATTGGAGGTTGTTGATGATGGATAAGGGAATGAAGGGTATGTTGGCTCATCAATACCTAAGTCTTCGGTTATAACTTTAAGGCCTCTCTGGAAGTTCAACAGTAGATCTTGTGATTGGCTCTGGTTTTGTTCGGGTTGCTGTGGCTCCATGCAAGTTCCTTGTTCTTGATTTTCTGATGGGCCTGAGGGAGGCATTACATGCGAGGCTAGAGTACAGGTGTGCCTTCCGCGGTAAGTGATCTCAAAGATTGTCGGGTCATCATCTGATCTTTGTACTTGCTTTGTAGCCAAACAACCTTGAACATTTCGGTGGGTGCACCTGTAATAGCCTCTGTATACAAGAAAAAGGATGGTCAAGTTACGATGTTACATATATAATAGTTGTCAGACAGATACTAATTAATTATTGCTCTTTCATCATTACCTAGAAGAAGAAAAGAATAAGTAAATTTAAACTAATTAATCTCGTCAAAGTGCTATACATACCATGCATATATGCACTTAGGTAAATCTCAGTTTCATGTATATGCGGTCAAACATTATAAATTCCAAGCAAGAACGCTTTAGCTACTGACATGCGGACAAGAGACAAGGTCAGACTTTACAACGTTAGGACTCTGTCAAAAGGGTTCTGCATGCTTTACAGTTGAAAGGTAGACCAAATGTCAACGGCTAATTGCTCTCGTGGTCGTGGAGTACATTACTTTAATATAGACCTGCATTATGCTTTTGCCCGTATAGATTGCAAAAGGAAAATTCCACAAACCTTGGATGTTTTGCTCCGAGAATATCTTTTTGTCCATATTTCCTCCAACTGAATCCATCATCAAGAGGTCCCTCCAGGGCTGTACCAGGCGTAACTCGGACTAGTTGCGTCCATCTTGGCAGAGTTTTTCTGCAACATAAAAAGTTCAAAACGATATAATTAATATTATTGCATGAAATGATGACTTGGGACAAAGGCTTGGTTAATGGTTATAACATGCGTGCGTTTTATCGATCTGTACCTTTTCTTGGAGGCATCTTTGAGCTCCTGTTCCTTGCAGTCACGGTCAGAGTCCTCACTCCGGGGACTTCCACTACGAGAAGGTGGTGACTCCGACATTCGGATTGCTAGTCCTGAGGGCTGCGGCTGATCTGCTGCCAAAGAAGTATTGTAGTTCAGCATTGAAAGTGCCTTTTCATATGAAGCTTGGATCTTTTGGACTAAGGATTCACGAGATTCGTGAGAAGAAGGCACATTGAGATGGACTTGGAGTTGCCTTGCTAGCTCTCTTCCTTGTGTTAGCTCATTTACGAGACTCCGTTGCTCCCATTCTCCCATGTTCTCCATTTATATATTGTGAAACAGACAAAGAAAGGAGAGATCAAAGTTCTTTCTCTAAGCGCACTGCCAATATGATATCTACGTATTGTAGTATGAAGGTATCAGTTCATTATAGACACTAACTAGGCAATGGGAGACAGCGTTTCCTACCAAAAGTACGAATGAACACAAAACAAAAAGCAGCAGAAAATGAGTTTTAGTTGAGAATGGAAGCTTGATGAATTAGAAGCTGAAAACATGGGAGTACATGAACTAGAATTGGCAATTCAGCTGAGAAAACTGAAAAGACGAAGACAAAAGCGGCCTTTTTCTGCTTTTTTTTCTTCCGATACGAGGCAAAGGTTGCAAATGGGTCTCCCTAAAAGAAGCCAAATATATCAGGAACCTAATATTAAAGGGTCAGATGAGTATTTTGTGTGTGTTTTTTTTGGTGTGGCTAAAACCTGCAAGATAAATAAAGAAAGGGAAAAACCTGAGGACGGTGGGAGAATATGGGTTTGGGATTTTAAGGGACATATCCCCGTTTTGAATGGAGTAAAAAATGAGGGAAAAGGGAGAATCAATCAGAAGAGGAAAGGGGAAGTTTGACTGAGAAAAAAGGTTAAGTGGATTTTCCTCATTAACACCGGTCTTCGGTCATAGAAAATTGGTTCAAAGAGGAAGGAAAGTCTAACTGCTGACCCTTTCTCCTTCACATTAAATCCTTCGACAGTTCAAGGAACACAGAATCACATTCCCTTTTTTACTCCTTTATTAAGCTTTTTCTGACTGGCGAATGCCACATTGCCACTGACTAGTGATCAGAAGATTCTTAGCAACTAAAAGGAGAATTAAATAAAATCAATAAACCAATAAACAAGTCAGAGAAGAAGACCAAGAATCTTCAGACCTTTTCCACTTCCGCGTTATTTCTTTTCCATTTTTTTTCTTTTTTCCGTTTTTTTAACTATGGAGAGAGGAATGAAAAATATCTTAATGATGAAGAAGTGACGTTAATCGACAACAATAATAAAGTGACGTTATTAATGTTGAAAGCGTTAACTAAGGTAGATGTCTCAACGTCATTATTCTGGTCTTTTGATTATCATGGTTTTGAATCTGCGGTGTGGTTGATGGTGGTCTTTTGTTGTGGGATGGTCTGGCTCATAGATATTTTGCTGGATGGGGGACCTCATGCTCCCGTTTTTTCATCCATTGAGCTGGGTGTGAGTATCAATTGTACAGGGGATTGTTTTTGTACCTCTGGATGGATGGGGAGGAAGGTGGAGGTCTTCTTATCTCCTGCTGGGTTCTGGGTGATGTAAATTTTGTGTTTTGGGGTCTGGAGACTGGAGGGGTTTTGTTTTTGCAGGTTCTTCTTTTGTTTTACCAATAGGTTCTGCTGTTCTTGGAGCAGAAGGATTTCTGCATCTCTTCCTGAAATGTAAACGAATTGCCCGCTTTTTTGTTAAAAATAAAAAAAAGTAGACGTCTCAACGTGGAAAGTGAGATATTGAGTCTTTTATCAAATTAAAAAACAGAACTACTACTAGTTACTTGAATTGACATGATGGATAATTTCCTCGAAAGATCCTCGTATATTAGTTTTTTTTTAATTATTTGAATGGTCTAAATGACAAAGGATTTCGACATTTTCTTACAGGGAAAAGTAAAATTTTGTGGGTTGGGAACCACATTTTTTACTTTATCTTCCGTCTCCATTCATGAATTACGATGAGATCTTTTTGCATCATCCAAATTATTTCAATTCAAAAATCAAACATCTTGGTAAAACCTAGTAGTAAGTAGTAAAATATCTGTCTTTGGTTTAGTGGAAAATTCAACACTTGGACCCATTCAAATTCAATGATTAGCCGAAAGAGCGGGACGACATTCTTCTGTGTGGAAAAATCTGCCCATCACAAGTTGGTGACAAATCAGAGGACGTTGCCGTTTTTTCATTTTTGTTGCCTCAAAAAGGGCGGTCTAGGTCCTGTTTTTTATTTTTATTTTCCTTTTTCTTTTAAAGAGAGGAAAACCAAAGTCTTCGGGAGAACAGGACAGTGGAATTTCCAAAGTTAGCGAGCCGCAATAAGAGTCTTTTAAGTACTCTAGACGGCGGTTCGTAGTTCATACGAACCAACTCGTGGACCCCCTGGGCCTGTCCCCCCTCCCGGCCTTCGACGCGAAGCAACAGCGTGAGACCACGATCCGCTGACTTGTGTTTTTTTTTTGCGCGCCAGGTCCACACCTCAATTGGAGCACTTGACATTTAGTTACCATCTTCGGTCTATTAAATCAAATCTAATCATGATCAATTCACTACTAATCCATTTCTCTCTCATTTTTTTAAGCCCAGGGGATAATGACATTTTAACTGTAATCCTAATTCATCCCCAATTAAATGAGAGAAGAGAATAATATATATATTAAAAATCCAATAAAACATTCATTATTGGCGTGAACTTGAAAAAGGTAAGTGCTAAATTGGGGGGTTTAGAATTTTTGATTATTATTGTATTTTTCTTTTTGATAAAGTCTCCAACGCGCAAACGAGTTTCTTCAGAATGGAGAAATTGGCTTTTTTCCGGATGTTTCCTGCTTAAGGTTCCTTCCTAGAACGTGAGACAAGTCTGGATCAATGCCCAATTTCAAATACTATTAGCCCGACCCATATTCTGATATAGCCTCAGCTCAGGCATTACTCGGCCCAGATCCCTTTGGTAGGTTTTTTTTTTCTTTTTAAAATTATTTAAACTCAAATTATTAGTAAGGGTTAAATTTCAATTCAGGGCATGGACCAATATCGTAATCGTTGCTCAATTTTCTCCGAAACTTGATAATTATCATCTTTTCCAGCTTTCAAATGGCTACAATTAGGCAACGTAACGATACCCCTGGACGGACGCATGCCACCACACGTATTGGGTCCCGCAAACTGAAAGTGAAATCGTTCTTCCAATGAAAACCAACCACGTGTATCAAAAGTCATCCATTAAATCCCGTAAAAAATCTATTCTTCCTCTCTTTACTCGCCACGACATTTCCAGTTTATGCTTCGGCAGAGGCCACGTCATCTCATCCTTCCCAGTTCTCTCTCCTATAATCTTACTTGTCACTTTCAACCACCGTTGGATTTGAAAACCGCCTCCCTCAGCCGTTGATTATTCCTACTGATATTATTTGTGGACACCGTAATTTACGTATTTCTGATTCTTACATTTAAAACTCAAAAACCTTACACCGTTTTGGATTCTCAGTAGCTTTTGGCAGCCAGAAAAAGCGCGAGTTCCACAACCCCAGGATCCGGTGTAAACTCAGCAACTCGCTTTGCTCTGTTCGTAAAGGTATGTTTCTCTTTGCATGGAGCTATTTACGTTGTCAATTGCTTATGGATGCCCTGAGTTCCTGTCGGTAATGTAGCAGAGATGTCTTGCTAAGACATAGTACTAGATTTTTGTATAGTTAATGTCTTTTATGTTCGTGATATTTTTTTCAATGGACTAACGTTGATTTGGAGCAGCTCATGTCAAAGTAGGGTCAAGTAGGACTGACCCTTTTGGGGAATTAATGCATTGATTTGCTGTAATACTTGTGAAATTTTGATGATCATTTAAGATAAATAGATTTGTAACTAGCAAAAAAAAAAAAAAAGATTTATGGAATGTTGCTGCCAGTTTAATGAAAGTATGGTGTTGAAACTTTTGTGTGATCCGGGCTTGATAAAGCTGCAGTTCACAAATATTTATCTTTTTGAGTCAGAAAAGCAGTTTAATTATGTTTTTTTTTTGCCACACTAGTTTAATTATGTTGAAACTATGAATCTGTGTTTGTGCTAAGAAACTGCGGTTCTGGCTTTTGCTTGATTTAGCAAGAAAAAATTTAATTAATTAACCTTAAGATCATACTTTTGTTAATTTCTGCTTGTTTTTTTTGTGTTTTACACGCACCATTGTTGCTGATGCATATTTTTTATTGTAGTTTTTGTACAGCCAGAAAGGTTTTGCCTATTACTTAAAGTTTGCTCAGACAATTTGGTATGGGAGTTGTCAGTGTTTCTAGCTCAGCTGCCCGAACTCCGCTAGGATTAAGCACAAAGTTTTCTACTCAAAGATGTACATCGAGAAAGCCTTTGACTGTTGCTTTTAAAGCAGATAAATCCGATATTACTGCTTTAGTTACACCTCAAGAGCATATTCTTTTACCTATAGAAAGAGCTAAGGAGAACCCAAAGAGACGAGGAAAAGCTAAGAAGGATCCTAAAATTGTAAATGATGTCTTTACTGATGAAGGTTCTCCATGTGCCTTGGAAGTGGATTACAATGAAGCTGCTGCCAAACTTGAAAACATTTATAAGCTTAGCTCTGCAACTAGAACATCTGATGTAGGAGACGTAGAAGGTAAGATAAAAGGACGCCAGCAAAGGAGAAAGAGGTCTAAAGAAAGTGATGAGAAAGGAGTTAACTTTAACAACCAGATCGTGGTTAGGAACCGGACTAATAAGATTAAAAGATTGAGTCTTGATAATAGGATTGCACTGAAAAAGAACAGAGAAGAAAAACCTGTTGTTTCTGTTCGGAGGAAAAAGAGTAGTGAGAATGAAAGTGAGAAGATTGATAGGCTTGTCAGGGACTATTCAGCTTCAACTGATTTGGTTAGCCTGGACTGGAGAAAGATGAAGATACCTCCCGTTCTGTCATCTACTGAGCATACTTGGTTGTTTAAGTTAATGCAGCCCATGAAGGTATGGACCTTTCCAATATAAAAGAAGAAATTAAAGAAGACAGCAGACCTTCACCTTTCAAATGTCTCTTATTTTTAAAACTTTGGTGTGTCTGCAACTAAAATATTTTGCTAAAACTGCAGGCACTGCTTCAGGCAAAAGAGAACTTGCAAAAGGATTTGGGTAGAGATCCAACTGAAGATGAATTAGCTGAGGCCACAAATATGAGCGCAGCTCAAGTAAGAAAACATTTAGAAGTTGGTCAAGCTGCTAGAAATAAGCTGATTAAGGTAATTCCTGTTCCAACATACATTCTGGTGTTTTAAATTAAAAAAAGAATCCCAATTCTAGGGTGGTTTTCAGCTGGTCAAATTTTCTGTTATGAGAGTAATTCGACCAAGTTTTGATAAATATGCAACAGAGTTCAATGAGTTCTCCTAATTCTTTTAATGAATTTCAAGTACACACGTCTTCTCGTTTTCATATGAAGCCCGTTTCAAATGATATTTTTTTAAAACCGAATTTCGCGGAAGAGATAAACTTTGTGGTTTCAAAAGTTTACTTGTGAGGATTTCTTTTGTGTTGTTCTGCGCCAAACCCCTACATCCCTCTGGCACAAACAAATTTAACTTTTTCAATGAAGAGCTGTGTTCTAATGTCCTCATTTTGAAAGTGGTTGCATAGTTTGTGGCTAAAGCAATTTTAAGTATTTTTGGCATTGGCTGTCAATACTCAATAATAACTACTTAGAGGTATCGCTTTATTTTATGCAGCATAATCTCCGGCTTGTTTTGTTTTCGATAAACAAATATTTTCAAGATTTTGCAAATGGCCCAAGATTTCAAGACCTTTGTCAGGCAGGAGTGAAAGGACTTATTACAGCCATTGATCGCTTTGAACCAAGAAGGAGATTCCGGCTCTCCACGTACAGTCTTTTTTGGGTTAGGCATTCAATTATACGTTCCATGACATTATCAAGCTTCACACGTGTCTCATTTGGACTTGAGTCGGTATGCTCTCTTTTTACTTAACCATGCTATATTTTCCTGTTTCTTATCTTTAAAATAGCATGATGATTCACGTGAACCCTTGCAATTTATTCTAAACAAGCAGCAATATTGACACTTGAAAGCCTTTAAGGGAAGAGAATTAGCCTTTTCCATGGTGGTTATGTCTGGTGAAATTCATCCTTGAAACTTATATTGTGATGGGTATTAATTTGACATTTTGTAACTAGGCAGTTCTCATACAAGAAGTTAACTGCAAGCAGATGATATTATCATTCTCGGAATGTTTTGAGGCACAAAAAAATCATTAGTGAAATAGGGTGGACAGATCAAAATGCGTATTCTGTTTGTCATTTATGCCAGGGACAATTTGACTGCTGTTTCTATGCTGCTAATTCCTGGCTCAAGATTTTTGTCTGATAGGCTGAGCAACAGAAGCCATGGCTAATTTTTAATAGAGCTATGCCTTACCTTTTCACCCGTTCTACTTAATGCAGGTTAGAGTAGAGATCCAAAGAGCCAAACTTGAATTATTGTTTGAACTTCATAGAGAACCAACAGAGGAAGAAATAATTAAAAAGGTTGGGATCTCTCCTGGGAGGTACCAAGAAGTAATGAGGGCCTCAAAACCTGTTGCCTCTCTTCATTCAAGGCATTCAGTCACACAAGAAGAGTTCATCAATGGAATCACTGACATCGATGGTGTTGGAGGTGATCACCGGAGGCAACCTGCTCTTCTCCGGCTTGCACTTGATGATGTGGTAAATAACCACCCTCTCTGAGCTTGCATTCTACACTACATTCACTGCTTACCATTTCCTCATTTTAGTGTTGTCACCAGAAGAAAGCTTTAACTTTTTAGGTCTTTCTAGGATGATACTCCTATTATGCTTACTTTTCTTTTTTAGATAAATAAGGTTGTTTTTTCGAATTTAAAATTCTCGTCAATTAGTAGCAATGCTTACGGTGGACAAGCTGTACGCGTTTTGCCATTTTTGCTGTCCTCTGTAAACACAGGCTTATAGTCCCTAACTTAAAAATCCTGTCTTTCAGCTTGATTCTCTGAAGCCTAAGGAGAGCCTGGTGATCAGACAGAGATATGGACTAGATGGTAAAGGTGATAGAACATTAGGAGAAATTGCTGGGAACTTGAATATTTCAAGAGAAATGGTTCGGAAGCATGAAGTAAAGGCGCTAATGAAGCTCAAGCATCCAGCCCGAGTGGATTATCTTCGTCGATACGTTGTCTAAATGTATTAAAATCCTCAGCTTCATCTACATAAATCCCCCTCTATCCTTATATTGGCTCATGACCAAGTTGTTTCTGTATACTAATAATCTGTATCATAGTCATTTAACCACATGAGCATAGAATTCCCATACCATGTAATATAAATTCAAATACTCAAAAGATTGTAAATCACCAATTATACATGACCTGTAATATTTCCCTCTCCCTGATAAGGGTTTGATTATACGTTACTTTGATTGGATTCAGTCTTTCATCATCTCCATCACATCCACCAATCCATGGCAGCTAATCTGTGATGTAATTCCAAAACGTCGGCCCCTCTGTCCCTCATGCATGGTTGAAGAGCTTAAAATTATATGGATAGGTAAAGGGATAAATTGAAAGGGAAAGCATGGGGAAGAGAAGCAGGGCTGTGTACCAGTTTCTGCACCCTTTATTCTAGAATTTAAAATTTATGCTACACCTTTTCAACGTATTCCTGCTAGGTTACTTGTCATGACTGTCACTGTATGTTATGTTACCTAAAAGGGCGAGCTGAAATAAAGGACTCCAAAAAGAAGTAGCAATTGCTAAACTTGGGAGGTCCAGGTTCTGAAATTGCTTTAGCCTTTACGGCTTTTTCCCCTGCTTTTTTATAGTAACTGAAAATTTGGACAGTAATATTTCTTTTGTGCCAAAGTCAAACTCAGACGCCATGATTGGAAAATCCAGTCGTTATAAAGGCAACTAATGCCTACTGGTATTAACTGAAAAAGACAAATCAGATTAACAAAGTAGTTTACTAGGGAAAAAGCAGGAGTTTCAGTTTCATTTTAGTTTGAAACCAGCATGCATGACGAAACTTGAGAATTTTCATTGAATAATTTGCCTGCCCGCCTGCCTTGTGCTATTAGAGTTGTAAATGGGGTTCTTGTGATCAAGGAAGGAAGCATTGCAAACAAATAAAAGAATGCGTGAGAAGTGGCAGAGAGCAATTCAAGCAGTTCTTGAAGTGTTGTGTGTCATGTTAAGTGAAAGACAATAAAAAAAGAATTAGGGAGTAAAAGAGAAATAGAGAGAAAAGCTCAAGAGATCATCTATTAGCTCGGAAGAAAACCCTCTTACTAAATTGTGAAGGCTCTACATATAGAATCAAAAATAACAGTTACAAGTTAAAAGGCTTTAATGCATGTCATGAATGACTTTATTAAGAAGAGTTTTAATGTAAGGTAACCGTTACTGAAAGTTAATATCGAGTAACAGTTAGAAACTCATTATGTAATTATTGAAATAATTATGTATAATAAAATTTGTTTTCGAGTAGAAGATAACAAAGAAGAGATATATATAAAAAAGTACAAAAGAATAAGTTATACATGAATAAGGATAATAGAAGAAACTATATATGAATAGCTAAAAAAAAAAGTATATAAACAAGTATACGAGAAGAAGGTAAGAAGTTGAAACACTTACACTTAAAGAAAATGTTAAGAAAAAAACCTCTTAACTAACTCCATATATGAGCTATCAAATCAAACTTTTTGAAACATTTTAAGATGAAAGTAATCCATGAACCCTGTTACTTATTTTAGATTACTTTCACTATCATTCATGTGAAATAATTATTCTCTGTAAAATAGCTGTTTTACTTGTATTAATTGTCTTATATGAAATAATGATCCACTTATTTTCGTTATTTTACATGAAGTAGCACTTTATTTATTCTAATTATTTTATACATAATATTATATTATAAAATAATTTTTTAAAAAATATATATTAAGGGTAATGAAGAAAGGATGTTTACGGAACAAAAGCAAAGAAGAGAAAGAGAGAGACAAGTATCTTCAAATCTGCAGCACAAGATGTGGAAGACAAAAAAAATGAAGAATGAAAGAAATACTTAAAAGAAGCTATTTAAAGCCATTAAAGGCAAAAGGCCAAATACTTTTAGAGATGTTTTCTTTGTTCTCTCTTCGTCTCTGGGCAAATCCTTCACTGTTTTGCATTATCCAAAACCTCTCTATTTCCTCTGCTTTCCGGCCTGGAATCCTGCCAGCTATTAAATCCCACCTGAAAAGTTCTCATCGCTAATGTGAACTCTATCTAATATCAACCAATGAAGGCATAGTAATACATTATCCAAAACTAAAATTTCATCTTAGCAATAAAAGACGATGATTAAAGAAGGCAAAAAACAAAAAAAAAGAAGAAGCTATTATACAATTGATTTGAAGTATAAATACTAGTGGAAAGACATTTGGTTATTGTTTAATCAAATAGCCAAGAAAGCAGACTTATTTTCTCTCGGATAGGTGTTTTAATCAAATGGGGCCTTAAATAAATGGTAATTAAACTCTTATATTTCACCGTAAATGGCATGTACTTTGAGAAAAGAGTAGCCTGCAGCGGCAGGGTAACAACATTACTGCTATTTCTTGATCAAAAATAATTACCAAATGCCTTACCTAACAAATATTCAAATCTAGGCACGAACAGTTGATTAAAAATATTGCATTTTAAAGCAAGTTTTTCAAGTCAGCTCACCTTTCTCCAACAAGCCTGTGCATCCTGTAGATTAGATCTTCTTCCTGTTCAGTCACTTTAATAATCTCCCACTCAATACTACTAACCTCTGCCCGAAAACACAAAAAGGACAAATTTAGAAACTTGTATTACACTAGCTAGAAGGAGAAACAAAATCCCATTACAGATGAAACAAAAAATGGGAAGACTGAAAATGGTGGCTGAGAAAAGGAAGAGAAAACTTAAACACTTGACCTTCGCATTCACGAGTGGTGATTTTGGGTTGCTTCCGGCGGCGTAGTCGGTCCATAATCTCTACAGGAATGAAACAAATCAGGTTAATTTCCAAGGGAAGGAAGGTGTGAAATATGGTGGCTCTGTGTATTTCAATGACCAAAAAGAATAAGATGTGTTTGGTATAAATGCAGCAGATATTCCTGTCCAACCAACCTTGAAAGTATGCTGCTTGTTGTTTGTTGACTCGTTGGCTTGTCCCTTGCGGACTTGTAGTTGATAAGAATTGAGAGCAATCAGGGAGGGAGAGAGGTAATGGCAAAGCTGTTAAAACTATTCTCTATTCCATCAAAATTGAAGGCTACTTTTGTAATTTAAATGCTTTCTCTATTTTATGTGGAGACCTGACTTTGTAGGATGCCTGCTCTTTCTCGTCATTCTGATGGCATGGATAAGGGTACTCCTCCTTCAGCAAAAACCACAATTTTCAAGGTTATGACTGGTCATCAAGAAAGCAATGTAGCAAACGATAACAGCCAAGCCTTCTACCTTACCAAAAATTAAAGACACCGTTATAGTAAAGTAATCATTTTTCTATGTATACCATAATTTCAGCTTCAGCCATTAAGGGAATAAAAATGCTTAGATTAAGAACACAATCGGTGTTGACACCAAGGCAAGTAGTCCGTAGTGTTGAGTACGGATCAATGTAATTGAATCTATTTATAACCTTCAAATATTCTTTTAACAACATAATCTAATTAGACTTGATTTTTATGATCTTATGCTGCTATGTTTCAAGAATTTAATATGATGAACTTTACTACAACATTTATTCTACAGTGATATTATAATTGATCATTATCGAACATATAAATCTTATCATTGAGTACTTAAAATAAATAGTGACTTCGTCTTAAACTACTAAATAGAAAGAAAGGGCAAGCGAAGAGAACAAATTTAGAGAAACATAGTTTTCGATTTCACAATAAATTTTACAACGCTTGAAATATGCCTCCTTCGGTAAAGGAAGTTTTCATGTACTAATACTGATCATCTTAGTAAAATAGATTGACATCACCTACGGCTACAGGCTATGGCCAAGCTTTTACTTCAAAATTGAGGTCCTTAATTTCAACTCATTGTGCGAGTGTTTTCTCGCTAACATAGTTTCTACATCCTTCCTACAGTGATAGATACTCTGAATCCCCAAGAAAATAGCATTCAATGTCTCAACACATTTTTACTGTTTCTATCTTATTATTATGGAGAATTTGTGAAATAGAGTACCAAGTACGTGCCAAATTAAGGGAGAAGTAATTACTAAAAGTGTTAAGAAGTGTTTTTCACTTTCCACACAAGGAAAAGATGATACAAGAAGATTAGCATATTCCCATTTTCCGAAGAAGAACAGGCAAAAGGATAGCGTGTGATTTCTGACAAGTTCCACAGAATTGGGCATCCGATCTTCAGAGAGGTGGAAAAGATAAGAGTGGTCCTCCTTGGCCCTTTGAAAGCCTGTACAGGTGTACTGATTCGGCTTCTAACAAGTTCAGATAGTTATAATAATGAATCAAAGATAAATTATTAGCTTTAAATATATCATGTTTGGTTGAGGGAATGGTTTATTCCTAAATAACATATGTTCTTTTGTTTCGTTGCTACATGCTTCAAGGAATAGCCATTCCTCTAAAATGGCTATTCTTCAAAATAAGCTCAAATTAAAGAATAGCTAATACTAATGCCTCTTATGGTATTAACTATTCCTTAGTTAAGAAATAGTCTCAAGAAAATTATAAAGATTAAAATATTTTTTATAAATTTTAAAAATTATATAATATATATTATAAAAAATAATATTTTAAATTTAAAAATGAATTAAAATTATTAATATTTGAATCATAACAACATTTAAATTATAAATAAATATTAATATTTTAAAATATTAATGATTAAATCATATATAAAATATTAATATTTAAATTATAAATTATTAATATTATTATAAAAAGGAAAAAAGTTTAAAATTTTAATTATATATTATACAAAATAACATTTTAATTTTAAAAATTAATTAGAATTATTTATATTTTAATCATAATAAATAAAATATTAATACTTTCAAATGTTAATGATTAAATTATAAATAAAATGCTAATATTTAAAAATATTAATGATTAAATTATAAATAAAATGCTAATATTTAAATAATTAATTATTAATATATTATAAAATATATTTTAAATTTAAAAATTTATTAAAATTATTAATATTTTAATCATAATATTATTTAAATTATAAATAAAATATTAATAATTAAATAATTAATTATTAATATATTAAATAAATTATAAATTATTAATATTTAAAAAATCATATAAAATAAAAATAAATAATTATATATAAAATAAATGATATTTTTATCTTTTTATACTTTATTTTTTTATGTCAAAATTATTTTTACTAACCAAATACTATAACAAATCATAATAATTATTCTTGATTTATTTTGTTCATTATAATAAATTACGTAATAATTATTTTATTTTATTTTTATTTATTTCGTTAACTAAACATATCTTAAATGTTGGATTGAATCAACGGAGTATTTTATGAAGGACATCTATACATGAGATGAAATATTTTTTCATTGGATTTAAACTACATAGAAATATTGAGGAAAAAAATAATTTTGTCTGCGAGCATTCCGAATTCCAACTACAGTGCTTTAATATGTAGTGAGCCTTATCCTTCATTTGTTCTGCGTGTTTAATTAATGATAAGGACTTTTGTCCTACGTACACAATACAGACACATAAATGCACTTATTTAGAGGCAGAGATCCGTCGCTGGCGTTGCAAGTGGATCGGTCACCCGAAAGCGCCAAGTTAAGAAATTTGTCACGTTTCAGTACATTTTCATTACTCCAGCAGTGTTAGGGCCAGGAACACGTTGAAAGAAAGGCAATACCCTCCATAAATAAATATGAAGCCCCATGTTGAGTTTGTTTTGTGGCTCAGGACCAGGAACCATCCATGCTGGACACTCATAATTTTACCATAAGCCATAATCCTTTTAGCTGAAACTATTTCCAGATGGCGGAGATGCATTATTTACACTTTTCTCCAGCGGAGGTTTTTACTTTTGGCACTGGAAAATAGTTGGAATTTGATACGCAGGCAGAACCAAATATTAATTCATAGGTTGGGAATTTTAAGAGGGCAATAATGAATTAATTTTCATTAAATTTTGGCCAAGAAGGAGAAGTGGTCATTGTCACTTTGACAGCAATCAATATTCGAACCGACAAAAATGACTGACCTAAACTTGTGTACTATGATAGCTGATAGAATGGGGCAAAGTCTGCAAACTGTCAAGTGTAGCTTGAAACATTTTCAGGCATAAATGATTTTCATATGTCTGAAACACGGATCAATTGTCCTGTAGGCTTTGTACAATTATTGACTCATAAGTTCGTGCTGTACTGAAAATTATTCTTCATGAATCATAATTTACAGAATATCATTAATAATTTGGTGTGGGAACACAAGAATGAAGAACAAAACAAAAAGGTAAAGTTATCTTGATTCACTCAACCAGTCTCAGTGGTAGGGTAAGAACAAGTCTTAGGGGTTTAACCAGCGTGATTTGGCCTTATTTGGGGTGAGAATTTCAACACAAATCCTACAAAAATAAGTAGCAAGTACTTTCCTTTGCTGGGTCATCCTAGCTGGGCGTATTACTTGTGTCAGGCATCTACTACTTTGATTGCTGAATGTGGAGGAAATTTTTCAAGCGCTGGAGAGAGTACTTCACTGAAAACTGAAGAAAAACTTTCCTTTCAAGATCTAAGTGAGATTGCATTATAATCATTAATACTAATATGAATGAAATGAATGGGATACTAGCTAGTATTTCTTTTCTTTCCAGACAGATACCAAAACTTCTGCAATATTACTGGTCATAGCAGACAAAGTGACAGCAGCAGCACTTTTTTAATCTGTCCCTCTCTTAATTCTTTCAACAGATGATATTGGTAATAGTATTATTTATTTATATATTTAATTATTATAGAAAAGTAATATTTAATTTTCAGTTTTTTGGAGGATTCTTTCCAGTCATTGCCTTCTAGGAATGCATGAAAAATGGATTAGGTTGAGACTATCAAGGTGCGAGTGACATGCTAATCCACTAGCCAGAGACACAATCAAAGCAACATTGTCTTACTTCTTAGTGTACTTAAAGCTTAATATAACATTAATTAATATTTAATCCTCAATGATCAACAAGAGGAAACTGTAACTAAAGCCATATTATCAGGTTAATTTACTAAGTCACAATCATATAATCTTATTTACTAAAAAGAAAAAAAAATCAAATCTTCTAATTAATCAAGTGCCTAGAAGCATTTCTCATGTGGATGCACTCACTAATCTCCATACAATAATTCAGGTTTGTTTTTTTTTTTTTTTTTTTGGAGGGGGGGGTTGGTGGTGGGTGTCTGGGTTTTGGCTTTTGGGCAGCATATCATATCTTATCCTACACCTAACCCCATGAACATTCTTGCATGCACCTAATTTTATCCAATTGAAAGCAGCATATAGCATTATCTATTATTTATAATGCTTTCTCTCAAACATCACACACTATTAAGAATCGATTCTAACTTCAAAATTAAAGAAATAAAAAAAATTAGAAAGAAATTGACCTTTGCTTCACTAATTGCCACGTGATGCCAGGAATAATACGGTAGCTTCTTTGCTATCTATTGTGTTTTGAGCTTTCGTACAACATTAATATATATATATATATATATATATATACATATATTAACCAACAACAACAAAATACCAAACTGGAATTTCTTGTAAAAAAATCACTAGTTGATCATAACCGTGCATGTTGGTTATTATTCAGTGTTTTTACGATTAACAATTAAAGATTTACTATTCTGTTGGATAATTAATTAACCGTTTATTTATTTGTTTAACTATATTCCAGCCTGCATAGTGATTTCTGAAAATTTTACGTAATTAAAGTAAAGCCAGCCAGAGCCATCAGCATGGTGGATTCATACTGTGAACATGATCCGCCATATATATTCGTAGTGTTTGCCCAAAGATTAAGAGGCCAAAGTTTTGATGTAAGTTTTTTTCCTTTTTCGTTTTTCAAAAAAAAAAAGAAATATATATATATATATATATATATATATATATGTAGCAGAGAGGCATTTTGATCGTAATGATACGATGAGAATAAATAAGATCAGCCAAAGAAAGTGGAAACAGACAGTTTTATCAAGGCATGCATATTGAGATATATTCTCTTCCCTAATTTGTAAACAAAGTGGAAAAGAATAATCAAGCACATAAAGAAATAGTTAAATATATGAAATCCATATCCTAATTTCATTTCTATAATTCTATTCTATCCTTCAAGTTTTACAAGGTGAGAAAGAGAGCGAGTCGTGGAACACTTTGGACTTCACATTTTATGAAAGCATAAGGTTACAAAAATATAGGTTTAGATTAATCTGGAGGATGCTGTGTTTTATAATTGATGGTGACCAAAGCATATGTAGTACGTACTTCCAGAAATGACTGAACTTGATGAGTTAATTTATCTTCTTCAATTCTACATGCATTTTGCCAGTTGCAATGGCTAAAGCATCTCTGCAGCAAAGGAATCATCAACTTCAATTGACATCATCCTCGAAATGATTAAATTAAGCCAGTCATTTTTCCCTGGGGAATATATTCTAAGTGCATTTGATCGTAAATCGAGTGAATATTGCGTTCAGGGTCACATGGATCTATTGCAAATCCGGCCCCACCTGATCAACAGCGTAGAATTTTTATTGAATGGTCGAAAATCCATTTCCTCTTTAATTAAAACCTTCTGATTTACTCTTACCTTAATTAAGCAAAAAAAAAAAAAAAACCGAAATCATAATTCATTACTTTGCTGTTTTTTTTTGTTTCATATAATTTATTAAATTATTTACTATTTTAAGTTTTTATTTATAATTATATGATCCTCAATCTATAACGTCTAAATTTGAATAAATATGAATTTAATTTTTTAAATTTTAAAAAAAGATACCATAAAATTATTAGTTCCGTTAGTTATCGAAATATGGAATTTCTATAATCAAAATATGTAGTTGGTTTTGAGACTGTAGGACTTTGGAGGGCCAGAACCCTATATGACAGGATAAAAGCATCAGAACCCAATGTTGGATTGAAGATATATATGAAATTTTAAACGATTGTTAGAAGCAACAAAGAATCAAAATGGAAGATGATGATATCAACACCATAGCAAATGGTCTTCTTCTTCTTCTTCATCACACAAAAAAAAAAATTTATTTAATGGGAGCAAAAAGGATCTCCACTTGCAAATAAGAAACAATTGGACTGGGGCATAAACCTCCCTCAAAGATGCCTTTTCGCATTATCTGATTAATTTCCTTCACGGCAAGATGCTTAAAACCATGAGCCACGTAGTACTGTAAGGGCTCTCGTTCGGAATAAAATTTTCATGTTGGCTTCTTTCAGCGAGCATACCCGCTAATATCATATCAGTAGGAATGATTCCGATTGTAAAAAATGCTTCTCTTGTTCGAAGAACCATTGTAAGGGTGAGAATGGGAATAATGTTAACTTTCTATATTCCTGTTAATGTCTGGACACATATCATTTTAGGGCAAATTTGTTGTAATATGATTGATTTTTATTGGTAGTCATAAGGACAGGTCGATCTCTGTTAGATCTTTCGACTTGTTATTTCAAAAAAAAAAAAAATTATGTTCTGTGAAAAATGCTCCTTGTTTTTTCTATTTATCCTGATTCACTAGGCAAGTTGATGCATGAACTTGAGAGAGTAATCAAAAGAGGAAAGTTGACTGTTTTAGGAAAACTGGAAGCATGACCCTGAGATAATTAGTAGCACTATATATTACATACTACAATCAGTCATCATCAATATAAGCATTATATATCCCAGTTATTGGGAGTAGGCTACACAACAATTATAATTTATAATTTATCAAAGCAGCCACCTGTTTCAGTTCGTATGTGCTCTCTTTTACATATTGCCCCATGAAAACAACACTTGTTTTAATGGCATTCCAACACATTACTGTCAATTCCATATACTCATAATGATGAGAAACCTCTTATAATATATAAGATAGATTTATGAAGTCCATATCATCTTCCAAAATGTAGTACTGCTGAAGTGATTTCAGATTATATATTTTAGTTTTTTTTTTCATTCTGTACGAAATTAAATTCAATGTTTAGTCTAGCTCGAACCGATTCTTTTGCTTTCCTTAATTATTTATTTTCCAGTCAGCATGTACCACATACATAAAGGATTTACAGTAAAAGGCCTAAGAACTAATGCTTGGAAATTTGTATCAAGTTGGGTAATGGAAGTGCTGGTGACAACTTCCACTCACAACAGAGCCAGAACAGCAAATTGTTCCTTTCTGTTTGCCTTTGACCTTGTTATCAAACCTAACAAAAGAATTAGAGTAAACTTTTTTTTTTCATTAAACAAATTGTGACAAAAGCTCCATATTAGAGCAAGCTATTGGCATCCACAAGATTATAAAAGTAGTCCACAAGTTTTTTTAAGACGTAGACAGCACTACCCATGCTGTTCTCAATTTTCTATTATTCCTATGCCTTTTTTTTCCTTAAAGAATTCAATATCTCCCTGTTATTTATATCCCATGAAGGTTGTACAGACCACAGGGCATACTTAATTATATAGTTTGTTCGTTCACACTCTTTTCTCTTGGACCATCCATTATATTTCTCCATCTTAGGGAGTTAGGACCATTTCTTGTCCAGGGCCAAATCATGGGTGAGAGGCTGCGCCTGGCAGTTGGGATCATGGGTATACTTCCTTCACGGTTTCATATTTTCTAATTTTACTCCCTGGATTTATATATATATATATATATATATGTAGCAGAAAATTTAGCTGATATAAAAATATTTACATGGTCTTCTTGCAGGCAATGCATCTTCTTTGTTGCTCTATGCAGCACCCATGTAATGTCGCTATTCCACCATTGCATAACTTGTTTTCTATTATTTTATTTCCAGAGAAAGACACAGATGGATGGATTTAGGTATTTTGATCATTCAACTTAAACAAATGTTTGTTCCTTTTGTACTGTGCCAGATTGACATTTTCCAGGGTTATAAGGAAAAGAAGCACTGAGGATTTCTCATGCATTCCTTATATCGGTGCACTGCTAAACTGCCTCCTTTATACTTGGTATGGATTGCCTGTTGTGAGTTACAAGTGGGAAAATTTCCCTGTGGTTACCATCAACGGTTTAGGGATCATATTAGAGTTATCTTTCATCTTCATATATTTTTGGTTTGCTTCAACCAGAGGAAAGGCAAGCTTATTAATCCTGCTTTTATCTTTACATTATCCATGCCTGCAATTATAGCTAGTTTTTCGTAGTGCTGGAGAAATGGAGAAACACCTAGACTCCTTTTCTTCTACAGCATGAGGAAAAATGAGGATTGTGGTCTATATTGTTTCATGCGTGGGTGCATTCTTGAGTGGAAAATTCATGTCTGAAGAAGGTACTAACAATTATATAGGTTGATGAAAGTGCAGATTAAGGTTGGTGTTGTAACGACACCCGTTATCCTAGTATCTTGTATCACTGCAATCATTTCAGCTTTTGTATTCCATGATCATCATCATCGCAAAGCTTTCGTTGGAACTGTTGGGCTGGTGGCCTCTGTGGCAATGTATTGTGCCCCACTTGTGGCTGTGGTAAGGCACAGGAAAGCTCTTCCTTCTCTCCCCTTTCTCCCCTTAAAAAAACAACTCTTGTGTTTTTTGTCTTGTAATTGAATTCTGTTTCTAATTGCAGAAACAAGTAATACTGACAAAGAGTGTTGAATTCATGCCATTCTACTTGTCCCTTTTCTCGTTCCTCGCTAGTGTACTTTGGCTGGCTTACGGACTACTGAGTCATGATCTCCTGCTTGCGGTTTGTGTTCTTGCCATTTAAACTTGGGCTTTGTTTATGACAAAACAATGTGTGAAAAGGCAAAAACTTATGCTTTGTGTTTTTCTAACTGACTATATGAATTACGGCAGTCCCCAAATCTGGTTGGTTGCCCCATAGGCGTCCTGCAACTTGTACTACACTGCAAATATAGAAAAAGAGGCATTATGGAAGAACCAAGCAAATGGGATTTAGAGCAGAATAGTCAGGAGAAACCCAAACAGATGCAGCTCGTGATGAACGAAAATATCAATGAAAAGGAGCTGAAGAATACGGCTTAAGGTATTATCAGAATCCTTTCCCCTGTCCAGGAAGATAGCTATCTATGGAATATATTTCCGAAAGATCAAGATTTTTGCTTACGTTCAAGTAGTCCGAACATCGTATTCATACTTGTACGTCTAAGTAGTTAGAATTTGATGAACGATCATAGTTTGTGCCATGAAATGGTATTGACACGTTTTCTCATCTGTGACAGGGGAAGCAACAAAAATTATCCTTTGAAGTAGCAGTATCAGCATCTTAAGTTGTCAAAAAGGGGGCTTTGGTTGTGGGATAGTTGTCGCATATCGATATCATTAAAAGAATAAAAGAATTTTATTACGCTGTCTTGCATCTCAATTTCTTGCAAAGTGCGATCCAAACAAGCAAAATGCACCGATAAAGAAAGGATTGCATAATTAATTACTCCAACCTCTTAACCAAAGCTATGGCTATGATGGAATGTGAAAACTACTGGACTTAACATCATAACAAATCCTGACTAAGCTACAGATGAACCTACGCATGGAAAAAGAAAAGACCAATACAATAGCCAAATACCAAGGAAAACAGTATGGATTCCTCCTGAGACGCTTCATTGATGCTTGCATTCATGTTTCCGAATTGCCAGCAGGTTTGATCAGTTCATGGTAACTGCTGTTAATCACCATTCTGTGCCAACAGCAACTAAGAAACCTTTGTTGCGGTTGTCAATAAAACACTTTTTGACTTTTTTGTGTTTGGTATTTACTGACAGAAAGTAGAAAAGGCCGCACACTTTTTTGTGTCAGATTACAGGAGTTGGCGTATTGTGAAATAGAACAGGACAGCCCAAAAACAGAGACCTGCTCTTACATCTTGACACAAAAAGTCGACACTTTGGGTACCGATCACAAAAGCAACACTGAACATCTGTTATCATGCTAATCATTATTATCAGACATCAAACAGAAAAATTGAACCATAATTGTTCCGTATAAAGCGTACTATGACAAAGAATATGCCCCTAGAACTCATTCTACATTGACAAAAGGCAAATGCCATTGACAAAATATGCTTAACAAATAACAGCCATGCAAGCCAAACCAATTAAAATACAAGTCAAATATGTTGCCAAGGTATACAAGCCACTAAGTTTGAAGAATAAAAGCATTATGCTCCAGTGATTGACACATAATTTTTCTCTTCAGAGAAGAAAATGTGCAAAAAATACTAGAGAGAAGGTGTTGGCATGAAAAAATACAGCAAACCTCATTTCCATACTTCCTTTTCTTCCTTACTCTCGTGAGCAACAATTGCTCCTGGATTTCCGTTACTTGTTTCCTAAGGGAGAGTGGTTTGGAAGGGGCTTTGGGAGCCTCTTTTTATTGCTTACTTTGAATATTACCTAACATCATTGGATTCCATGTCATAGGGTTTCTTGCCCTGAATTCACCTCAGCCAGTCTACCAAAATCAGTTCTTCATCTTCCATCCCACCCATGGATATGCACATAAGCCGTCCAAAAAGCCAGTCTGAAGCATTTAAACAGGGATTTGTTATTCCATCATAGTACTCTCTTGGCATCATCGATAGCTTCATAAATCACAATTACAATGAAAAATACAACGAATGCGCTTCCTCCAATCTCAAACTCCCCGCACCTGGATTTAACAACAAGCCCAAACGAAGCTGTTATGATTTCCATTTTCCCGAGAAAATACATCTCAATAAGAAATAGAAACAGAGAGGAAGAGAAAGTAGTTGAAAGTTGAAACGCACCGTTTCCCTTCCACGATTCAGTGATCCTTTCATTCTTTAGATATTGTTCAACTCGAAGACTAAACGAATTATTCCTCCGCTTTCCTCTTTACCCCAAGGACTGCCGCGTGTTATAGAAAGGAAGCTTCATGCATGAAGACACGTACCTACTCAGCCACTTCTCTCTCGTACTCTCAGACCACTTCTTTATTTCTCAATTTACCCCTTCAAACACAAAAATAATCAAGAACAAGAAGCAGAAAATATTGCATTAAAAAAGAAAGTTATACGTAGAAAATCTCTATTTTTCTCAAAAGAATTTTCCTTTTTTTAAAAAAAAAAAAAAACTTTAATTGTTGTATCGGGAATTTAATATCCATAACAATCATGGTGAAGCTAGCCTCGGCAAGAGAGAGTCGAACGTACGGGCGACGGCTGTCTCGGAGTAGGGCCGAGTACATAAACGCAGGGCTGTATTTGTTTGCCACAGTTGTGTTGATTTGTGGTTTTGCAGCTGAGTTCTCATGGGAACCCCGATCGGGTCTTGTTCTAATGCTTATAGCACTGGCTCTTATTATTTTTGTTAACCTTCATGATCTTTTGGCACATCTTGCGGGCATTGACTATAGGTTTCCTTTAATGGAGTTCGACACGCAGCTTGCTCTTGTGGAGTTCGCTGTTCCGGTGGTTCAAGTGTTAGGTTCACTCCTTTTCTTTGTAGGAATTCTTTTTTCCTTTATTCAGGTAGCGTTTTTTGTACCTTTAGCCCTGGAATCCCTCAAAAGTTCATTTGTAGGCAATTTGTTCTCATTAGTACATTGCTGCTTGCTAATGAACTTTTTTTTGCTGGGTTAATTGCAGGCTGAGAAAGGGTATAGTTATTTTAAATTGGAAAAGCATGCTTTGGGTTTGCTCATTGCTGGCCCTGTTTTTTGGGTTCTTGGCTCCATCCACAACTCGTGTCAAATCTATGAGAGAGCAGATGGGCATGTCCAAATCTTGCAACAGAGTGTCCACATTCCGTTTTTAATTGGGAGTGTGTTGTTCATGGTGGGATCTATTCTCAACAGCCACGAGCAAGCTGGAATTAGTCATCATGGTTTAGAGTTACTGGTAAGTTGTGAAAGATAGAGTATATAAGTATAATAGAGCAGCACCCGAGCATTTCATTGCTTGTTGCATTATCTTCAGTATTCGAATCCCTCCTCGTCCAATTATAAATATATATATATATATATATATATATATATATATAACAGAGCAATTAAGTCTCTGTCATTAGTACATCCAGATTCTTTCTCAACTTGTATAATTGTTGAATTGATTTTGCTTTACCCACCACAGTACGTGGATTCAATTTTGAAGCAATTATGATAGCATAAACTTGCTTTACATATGCAGGGCAGAACTTGGGTGTGGTTAGGCATTTGTGGCAGCCTGATGTTTTTCATCGGGGGATTGACAAACGTGGTGAAGGTGTTCAAGATGCAGCAAATCAACAGGCTAAGGCTCGAGAAATTGCGCGGAGGAGCACAGGATAGGCTGATTCAAGGCAGGGAACGGCACGTCCCTCTGATTATAGAGGAGCCAAGGAGAAAAATGCAAGTTGAAGACGTAAATGGACCTGCTGCTGCTGCTGCTGCTTCCACTCCTTACAAGGATGTGCTTCTTGGTCGTTGAGTATTAGTAATTGAGAATGATCACATTTCATCTTTGAATTCAGCTCTTTCACCCTTTGCTAAATATTCTTGTAGACATCATTGCAAATCTCGTCTCTTCCCCTTATACTAATCTATAGTTTTTCAGTAACCCGCAAAATCAACAACTTCAACTACATATTCGATAATCTCGTCTCTTCCCCTCGTGCTTATATACTAGATATTTACTTACTATAATACATACTTATTTAGTCTTTTTGGTGTATTTAGTAATTTAATATTCTCAAAATATATTATACACAAAGTTATTGAAACTTTAGATAATTTTTTAATTTTTCAGTAACATTGATATCCTGAATCAATAAAATCAAAGGTACTTTTTAGCATGCATTTTATGTATATTTCCAGCAACTTATGTTCGTATACTTCTTTAGAATTTTGAGTAATTTCAATTTCTTAAGTCAATAACTTTAAAGTAAATAATGATTTTTTAAATATTTATTTATTAATATTTAGTAACCTTACAAATACTTTCTTAATATCCTTCTATATATTGATTTTTAATAATTTACAAATAATTTCTCAATAATTTGCTTTGTACTTTTAACAATCTAAAGTTATTGAAATGTTAAATACTAAAACTACTTTTTCTATAATATTTTTTGGATTTTTAGTAAATTACAAAAATATTTCATTAGAAACTTGTGTAATTTCACTAATCAGAAGTTACTAAAATATTAAATATTAAAAACACATTTTCGGCTTTCTTGTTAAGTAGTTGTCAATAACACGAGAACTTATTGATGTATCATATCTAAAATATTTTAACAGTAAGTTTTTATATAATTTCAATAAAAATAAAACCTCTTCAATAACTTTTCAATTTCTATATAACATAAAGTTATTGAGATATTAGATATTAAAATTACTTTTTCAATAGTTTTGTATAAATTTTCAGCAACTTATCAAATATTTTCTTATTAACCTATTATGTAGTTTCAATACCTTGAAATTTTTAATAACTTTTTATGGACTTTCAAGAATTTTTATGTTAGAATAAAAGAAAATTTTGTATAACATAAAACTGTATAAATTATAAAAAAATCTAATGTATATTATATATATATATATGAAGTACTAAAACACTTTCTCAATAGTATTTGTGGACTGGTAACTTTTAAATATTTTCTCAATAACTTTTTATCTAGTTTCAATAACTTGAAGTTACTAAAATATTACATACTAAAATACTCAAATTACATATACTTGATTAACTTTTCTAGCAACATCAATATGCTAAATGAGAAAACTTAACATGTATAATTATTTTTTATAAGAGTTGCCTACTATTTTTTTATGGGTTCTTTTTTGTTTCCCTTCTTTTTTAGTGAAGGGAAAACTCCTCATGGCTTTAATTCCATTAAAAAAAATAACAAATTTACATTTGTATGGTTATAGACAAAAACATATGATTGGTTTTCATGTAATTTTGAGATTCTGAAAATGCAAATTTTAAAATAAAAAAAGAGAAAAAAAATTCTTAGTAGTATATTAATAGCCACATTCTTTCCTGTAATAAAGAAAAGTCTGAGTTCATTTTCCCTTTCCAAATCCAATTATTACATATAAATGGATTAGTTAGTCACTAATAGTTCTTTTCTTACTTTTCCTTTTGGCCAAGGTTGAATCAGATGCTTGAAATTAGTTTTTTTTTTTGCTATTATTTTTTTTATTTGCTTTCTTTTAGAATTATTAATAAATGAAAGTAACTATAAATGAATAATTAAATGTACACTTATTTAAATATGATATAAGTATTTAACCTGAAAATAAAAATAAGAATAAAATAAAAATTTAAAATATTTTTTATATAAAAATGTTACTTATCTTTGTATTCAAAATAAAAAAAAAAACCTTTCCAATTAACTAAAATATCAGTTTCTTTGAGATGTTTCTATATTCTACGACATCACTGGCACCATCAGACGTCAGCAACCAAAGTACGCGGCCTCAGCTAAAGTACGCGGCCTCAGCTAAAGTACGCCAATCTGCATTTGCTGGAAAAGTCAAAATCCAACCCAATCCCCTTTTTTCTGTTCCATACTAACATCCACAAGGTGCTCAATACACCCATCCGGCGCCAAAACAAAAACCACGATAAGAAGTAGAATAAAAAAACAAAAACGAATCCACGATACGTTTCTCTCTCCCAGCCTTCTGAAACCCTAATTTAACAAATATCACGAAATTCCGATTTTTTATCTATACAATTTCTTCAGATTTTGTTCGACTCCTTTAATTTCCCTGATTCCCATCAATCTATATATATATATATATATATATATATATATATCTCGATTGATATTAAAACTTTATTTTTTATTTAATTTTGGGCATTTAGGGTTTTGAATCCCAGTTTTTTGGCGAAGACTTTTACAGGGGTTGGTTGCTGAACGGAATGGCCTCCGTATCAAGTCAGCCGCAGTTCCGATACACTCAACCCCCGTCTAAGGTGCTGCATTTGAGAAACTTGCCCTGGGAGTGTACGGAGGAAGAGTTGATCGAGCTCGGGAAGCCATTTGGTAAGGTCGTTAACACCAAGTGCAATGTTGGAGCCAATCGTAATCAGGCTTTCATTGAATTTGTAAGTTTAATCAGAATTTTTTTTCCTTTTTTTTTTCGAATTTCGTCCTATTACTTCAATAATGTTAGTAATTGTATTTTTTTTTATCGTTTTTTAGGCTGATTTGAATCAGGCCATTGCTATGATATCATATTACGCTTCATCTTCAGAGCCTGCTCAAGTAAGGGGCAAAACGGTCTACCTACAATATTCTAATCGGCAAGAGATTGTAAACAACAAAACGACTGCGGATGTTGCCGGAAATGTTCTGTTGGTAACAATTGAAGGTCAAGATGCGCGGCTTGTTTCCATTGATGTTCTGCATTTGGTGAGGAAGAGCTTGATCTTTTTGTGTTTTTGCTTTAGAGGGTGTGAAGTTACAATTTTGTAGGTTGTTGTTTGACATGAGTTTCTGTAATCACTAGGTTATGTAATTTTTGTCATGCTCTTACGGAAAAAAGCTTTTTGTGTTTTGACATGAATGTGAATGGATTAGCAGGATCATGTCAAGGGAAATATCTCCAATGGCAGCTTAGTGCATCGGGAGAAAGAGCACACGTGTGTTTGTCTCCTTTCTCCTTTCCTTAACACTGCCTCTTTCTTCCCTACTCTTCCTTACTTACCTCCTATTCCTACCATTTAGGATGATTTTTTTTTTTTCATTTCTTCTTTCATGTGCATCCATCTCCCTTGGACTTTTAGATGCATTCTGTCACTATGTTTTCGCTTGTGCTGCTGCTGCTGGCAATGTAGTTTTTATGAAGTTTGTGCTCCATTTAAAACTTTGTGCATAGCCTGTGTATTATATATTTGTGCGTTAAAATAGATGCTAGCTTTGCTGAGTGTCAAAATTTCCACTCCTCACTGGACGTGAGCAGGGTAGTCCAGTCGAGTGCCTCAGTTTGTCTTGGCAATCAGGTGAAGTAATGTACCAAACAAGTGTCTTAGATCCCTGATAAACTTTAAGGGAGGTGCTTGCTTTGGTGGATATCAACCATCTCAGTAGAGCAAAAGGTGCTTAAGATAAGCGCCTTCCTAAATTGGCAGTACATTGTAAAGTTTGCATAGATAGCCTCTGATTTGGCAGCCAATCATCCAGTTAGTCAGCACTGCTTTTTGTTCACTGATGTCATTTATTCGCTGAATGAATGAATGAATGACTATCATCGTTAATAGCATGTGAAGATTGAAAGATCCTTCTGCTCCTTTGTGCTCATGCGAACATACTTATGCCATTTTGGAATAAAACATGATTTGTAATTATTAATATAGTCCCTAAATCATGTAGGAATAATATGAGGCAGATTGTTTTTACAGTCTAAGTGGTTTTTTTTCCCCTTAAAGTCTGTATAACTATCTCTGCTTTTGAACAATAAATTAATTATTTGCATAGATATTATTGTACTAAAGAACAGTGGTTATTTTTCTTAGGGAACTATATAATCTACAAAGTATAATCTTCGTTAGTGCCAGATGTTGAAAATGTACTTACTCTGTAACTTTATCGTGTAGAGACACAGATTTACTTAGATGTATGTATTAACATGTTTTACAATTAGGTACCTATCCTTAGTCCTCAGTGAGCGCTTCTTTGTGCCTGGCACCTTGACTGATCCTGGGCCCTGTGCTTATTGCAACTTTTGCATTTGATACCTTGAGTATGAGCTTTATCATTTTAATTGCTAGAGCAATTAGTATCTGTCCCTGCGTCTGCAGTTTGCTTCAATTTGTTTGTGAAGCATGTGGAGCTTTAGCTTTTATCCTTAGAAAAGAATAGTGATTGAATAGATTTTTGACATTGAATTAAGAGAGTTATTTATTCCATGACAACTTGAATAAAATGAAATTTGAGCAGGCCTCAAGTGTAGCTTCATTTTATTTGTAGCACTACCTGGTCGGTTCTTTCATCTCTTGTAGCATTTAGTAACCTGGTGCAGTCATTATTTTGTGTGTACTATTCTTGTTAACCGACCGCCTTGGAAAATCTGAAATACTTAACCTATCACTTCAATTGTCAAGCTGTATTCTGTTAATAAGTTTTATTGCTTCTGTCTCTATGAGGATGGCCTGGATATGTTGGACTTATCTTCATTCCTTATTTTCCTGGAAAATATGTTGAAGGGAATTACAGATTGGAATTGCTTTTAAGAGTTCTTTACTTGATTTTTTTCAGTTCATCTTGCTAAAGTTGTTAATAATGCAGGTATTTTCAGCTTTTGGATTTGTGCATAAAATTACTACCTTTGAGAAGACAGCTGGATTCCAGGTATATGAATTAGATCTCCTTCTTTCAGTTTTGGTTGGTTTGCTGCAGCCTTCGAAAATAAGCTCATTCTATACCCTGCATTTTCTGTAGGCATTGGTGCAGTTTTCAGATGCAGAAACAGCCACGTCTGCAAAAAATGCCTTGGATGGACGAATCATCCCTAGGTGACAGTTGTATTAATTGTTAGACACGGTATTTAGTCCAACTATTATGGACCATATAGCTGTAGACGTGGTGCACTTGCACTGAGCACATACGTCTATTGGGCTTTTAAACTTTGGATGGACTGTTTCTGTTAAGTCTTGCAACATCCTACTTATTTGCATTTTTTTAGTCCTTGATAAAGTAAATAGACAACTCACTGAGTTAGAATTAAAGTCTTATTTCTATAAGATTTGTGTCCTCCATAGGCAAAGCTTTTCATCTCACAGCTTTTGTTCTTTTGTGACTATCAGTTTTCTTGCGCAATGATCTTCTGACTTTGTCCTGGGTTTTCAGGTATCTGCTTTCTGAAAATATAGCTCCTTGTACGCTTAGGATCACATATTCTGCTCACACTGATTTGAGTGTGAAATTTCAGAGCCACCGAAGCAGGTACTCCTGATGTCTCTCTTCGTTTCTGATTATTGATCATATGTATCAAATTCAAGTGCATAATTGGCTCTGGCATTGCTTATGAGCCTATGATTTTCATGGAAGTTAGTATTTGTTTGCATATCTGAACTTTTCATCCATCCCTTTGTTGATTTACCATTTACTGTACTGCTGCTCATCTTTCTGCTAGTTATCTCTGTTTCTGTTGAATACTAATAAATTATATGAACTGTTTCTCCTTTTTCTTTTGTTTTCAGGGACTATACCAATCCCTATCTTCCTGTTGCTCCTTCAGCTATAGATGGAAGTGGCCAGGTAAAGAACATGCTATTCCCAATTGAAAGTCTTAACAGCAGTTAGAATTTTATATAGTTTCTCTGTGAATTTATTTACTGTGTACAGTTTTCTAGAGTACAAAGCCTTAGTTTTAGCCCAAGGTACTTCTCATAAATTTATTAAAATGTTTATATGTGATCTTTTCTCATGCAAGGTGTCACATGCAACAAGATTCAACTCTTGTGAACCTGTATTTCTACTAAGAAATGAATAATGTTGCTGCATCACTATGCTGGACTCTGTAGTGATTGTTTAGTGTTTTGCTTGTTTATTAATTAGATTCATTTTTCATCATTGCAGTTCAGTTTGGGTCTTGATGGGAAAAAACTAGAACCTGAGAGTAACGTTTTACTTGCATCTATCGAGAACATGCAGTATGCTGTTACCTTGGATGTGCTACACATGGTATTTACCAGTAACAAAGCACCTTTTATTTGATAGTCTAGTACCTCAACTCTCATGCTGGTTATTTATCAATTTTTTTGTCCCGTATGTTTAGGTGTTCTCTGCTTTTGGCCCTGTTCAAAAGATTGCCATGTTTGATAAGAATGGTGGAGTGCAGGCTCTAATTCAGTACCCAGGTAATGTTCAAACATGTTTATTTATTTATTTTTAAATTAGGCCTCAAAATCTGCTAGTCCTTTTATCGAGATGGCCCTATATTCACCTTTGAGAATTTCTGCCTATGGAGAAATATGTTATTTCTAAATTGAGCCTGCTTATTGAAGGAAATTCATCCTTGCTCATGGCCTTATCCATTATTCTTTTTATATTAAAAGCAAGAACATAGGAAAGAGATCGGACACCCAATTCCTTTTGTTCCTTATATTTAAGTCTCAATGGTTCTATGCTTTGCAGATGTTCAGACAGCTGTTGTTGCCAAGGAGGCCTTGGAAGGTCACTGCATATATGATGGAGGGTTTTGCAAGCTTCATATCTCATATTCACGCCACACTGATCTCAGTATAAAGGTATTTGGACAATACCATTTACTGATTGTAATTGTAGTTTACATGGTTTGTTTTGATTGGAATAGTTTATTGTTATTCATGTGTTCATTCATTCCAACATAACACGTACAAATTTAAGAGGAAGAGACGTAATTTTTTCTGAAGCTGTAGCTTGGTGGCAAAATGGTGGCCTCACATTTTCTTGTCAGTTTTTCATGAAATTTAGTAATGGGAAGGGAAGAGGGAGGGGGACGGGAGAGTTGTTTAAGTGTTTTGGCTGTGTAGTACTCTTCAGAATTCTGCTATTATGCGTTAATATCAATTGAAATAAATTGCTGATTTTGTTTGTGTTAAAGATTGCAACTTACATTTGAAGAGAATAAAGCCTGGTCTAATATGGTTGGTCTGTTCGTTACAGGTCAACAATGATAGGAGCAGAGATTATACAATCCCAAACCCTGCCATGGTTAACCCACAACCTTCGATTTTGGGACAACAGCCAGTTCAAACAGTGGGGGCTACAGCTGCTCATCAGTACAATGGGACTCAATATGCTCCTCCCCACCCTCAACCTTCAGCTGGATGGGCCTCAGGTGTTCCAGCAGTGCCGCAATCCGCAGCAGGACAGATGACTAGTCATCCTTACATGCCACCAGCCTCAATGCCTCAAATGACTCCTGCCGGAATGATGCAAATGCCAGCCCATAGTGGCGTACCACCAGCTGGGGCAGTGCCTCCTTACAGACCCAATCCGATGTAATAGCATCTTTCTACAATATATAAAAACCGAGTTGCGGTTGCCTCATAGCTGCCGCATGCTGGTTGCTACCAGCATTAGTTGTTTTTTTTCTGTTCTGTTTAAAAATTTGAATTGGGGAACATGGTGAGCAGTGTTAGAGGACATTTTTTGTATTTGTTGGAATTTCGAGAAGGGGTGCTGGAAGGGAAGAGAGGGGCGAGGTTAGGAGATAGGTTGGGGAGATATTGTTTGAATGTTTAACCAAAGATATTGTGCAGCTAAAAAAAGGAACCCAAAAGAAAAAAAAAAGGGCGTGTTGTGGTATTTGAGTTGAGCTTTTAATCATTATTGATAATTTAAGGTAAAATTTTTTATTGTTCTTGATGGTTTAAGAAATATGTTTGCAATTTTTTATGTTAGGTTTTATTATAATTTATCTTAAATATTTTAAATTAAATAGTTTTATTATAAATGACTATTTCATGAAACAACTGATTGTTTAACAGAAGCATTAATATTTGAGGTGGTTTTATTTTTATGCATTTTTTTTCTAATGCAAATTGGTAACAGTCATCAAAACCAATCCTAACGTATTATGTGAGTCAATAGTTTAATTATTGGATCAACAAATTATTTATTTAAATTTACAAAATTTAAGAATATATACAAACATAAGGCATGCCTTGATGATTATAAATTTTTTATATGAAAATTGAATAATTTTATTAAGGAATTTAAGCGGTTTTAATTAAATGTAAGATTTTGAATACCGACATACTTATATAATAATTGATATTCTAAATATGTATGAAAATAAGCTGATTTTATTTTTTTTATTTGATATATGATGTTAGTGTATCAAAAGAAAAAAGCTAAAGACCTTCTAATTTCAGAATTTTGCTTATAAATAATAATAACAAAATGCAAAATTCTATTTCTTACATCTAAAAAATAAAAAATCCTTGTGAATTAAACTCCAAAATGACCTAATTTCATGTTGGATATATAGGGATGTCTTATAAGCTTTCTATCCCCACATTACATAGTTATAAAAAATGTTAGTGTTTTATATAAACAAACTCATTATAAACTTTTTGAAAGCTAAAAAAAAAAAACTGGTCTTGCGCACTCATAATATTAGATTAAGTCTTGAGAAAATACGTATAAATGATATTTTTGTACCTTGGTAATTATATATTTTCAACTTTTTCACTTTACAAAATTGGTGGTTATGTGTTTTCAGCTTTTACACTTTAATGGAATTGGTTTTTGATTTTGACAATTAAAACATTTTTAATATATTTTTCTTTTTAAATCTAATTTTAAACTATTATAATACAGAATCAAACTTACCTCATGAAATTTTCAATTTTTTCACTTTACAGAATTGGTATTTGATTTTGGCAATTAAGAGATTTTAAATATATTTTGCCGTTCTCTTCTTTTTAAATCTAATTTTTAAATTGTTATAGAATCAAATTCACTTTATGAAATTGATGATTTTGGTAATTATTTTAAATATATTATGTCATTATTTCTTTTTAAATCTAATTTTTGAATTATTACAAAATCAAATTTTATTATGAAATTATTCCTTGATTTTGACAATTATGAGATTTTAAATGTATTTTTCCCTTATCTTCTTTTTAAATTATTATGGAATCAAATTCACCTTATGAAATTGGTCTGTGATTTTGACAATTAAGATATTTTAAATATATTCTATCATTATCTTCTTTTTAAATTTAATTTTTAAACGATTACAAAATCAAATTTTAGACTTGATTCAGTTGGATTTTTTCTTTCTTTAATTTTCTGCTGCTCTTGTATCTCTAATAGTTTGTGCAAACCATTAGCGTTTTCACCTTATGAAATTGGCATTTGTTTTGGCAATCAAGATATTTTAAATATATTCTGCCATTATCTTCTTTTTAAATTTAATTTTTAAACTTACAAAATCAAATTTTAAAAGTTTATTTCTTTATTTTTGGTTGATTTTGTTGGGTTATTTCTTTTTGTAATTTTCTGCTGCTTCTGTATATATGATAGTTTGTATAAACTATTCAAAAAAAATCTATTGAATCCTAAGGATAACTACTTTAATCATTTTTCATCGAGTTTCATACTTTGAAATGGTAAAAATTATCCTTAAGGATAATGTATCACACCTTATATTTGTTTGATTAGTTTATCAACTTCAATTTCAACAACAATCTTAAGGGTAATATCAATTTTCACATAGATAATATTGCAGCCGCTATCATTGCTTCCACCACTGTTGCTAATGGTTTTACCCGACAACCATCGCCACTATTGTAAATTCTACCAATACATCCACCACTTTTGCTGCCTTGTCCATTCTAACCATGTCTCGATGTCATATGCAAAATTGTTTCCTCACATATCCAAAATTGAGATGTTTGATGGTAATAATTTCAAAAGTTGACAAGAAAAGATCTTTTCCATCATAGGCAATGTCAACATGTTGGAACAATGAACAAATGCAAATAAGGTATGTAGACATATAATTACTAGCATGCTTTCTAATAAGCTCTTTGATGTTTATAACCCTTACAAAGAAGCAAAGCATGGGATTCGATGGTTGCCAAATATATTGCTGAAAATGTTGGGAAATAAAAGTTTGTGATTGAAAACTTCTATTATTAGGAGATTACAGATGACAAGGATATTAAGAGTCAGATAAATGAATATCACAAGTTGGTGGATGACTTGAAGGTAGAAAATATCAACTTGCAAAAAGAATTCGTTGTTGGGTTACTAATTGAGAAGTTGCTAGAATTCTGAAATAACTACAAGCAACAACTGAAGCACAACCAAAAGCAATTGTCACTTGCAGACTTGATTGTGCACATCATCATTGAATACATAACCCGGAAGGAAATTAAAGCTTTTAAAGCTAAAAAGATTGCAATCAAAGTCAATTTGGTGTAAGACAAAATCTAGCATCATCAACAAAGGTACAGTAATAAAAACCTTAATTATAAACCCAAAGCTACTTATCCCACCATCAAAAGAAGGGTACTTGTTTTATTTATGAGAAGCTAGGGCATGATGCATCATAGTGCAAGAAGAGAGTAATGGGAAATGATAAACCTACTAATCGAACAGTCAATTTGGTTAAAGTATATGAATTTAATGGCATAATTACTACAGTCATTTCTCAAGCTAATATGATGGCCACTGTGAAAGAATGGGTGGTAGACTTAGGTGCTATCAAGTGTATTTATGCAAACAAAAATACCTTTACCTCCTATAATCCAGTAAAGGAAGGAAAAGAGATAATAAATCTTAATGATTCTTGAACTGATCAAATTCTTGGTAAAGGAAAAATCTTTCTCAAGCTCACATCTAGCTAGACCCTAGCTCTGAATGATGTTTTGCATGTTCTTAATATAAAGGCAAACCTAGTTTCTGTGACTTTATTGGGTAAAGTTAGAGTGAAAGTTTCTTTAAAATCTAACAAGATTATAATGACAAAGAATAATGTCTTTGTGGATAATGGATATTGTAATCAAAGACTTTTAGTACTCAACATTTTAAATATCTTGAATGAAAATGCTAGTTCTTCTATTTACTTGATTGACCTTATTGATCCATGGCATAGCAAATTAGGCCATTTTAGCATTCCTTATCTAAAAAAAGGCAATCATTAGGTTTAATTTTTTATATTAAAATGGCATGTTTTAATAAATGTTAAGTTTAATTTACACTGAAATGAAATTTAGTAAATGTTAAGTTTAATTTAGTAAATGTGTAATATATGCTAAAACAAAATTGATTAAGAAAATTTGTGTTTTAGTAAATAGAGAATTTGAATTGTTAAGTTTAATTTATACTGATTTGGGAGATTTGAAATAAATTATAACTAAAGATGATAAGCAATATTATGCTACTTTTATTGATAATTACTCTAGATTTACTAAAGTTTATTTTCTTAGGTATAAAGATAAAGCTTTTGACATGTTTCTTAAGTATAAAGCTGAGATAGAAAATTAATTGAATAAAAAGATAAAAAGAATTATATCAAATAAATGTAGTGAATATTTACTGATTAAAGATATTTGTGAAAGTCATGAAAATACTTTTCCATATTCCCCTCAATAAAATGGTTTAGTTGAAAAAAAAATCGAACATTAAAAGAAATGATGAATTCTATGCTTATTAGTTCTAATGCATATGGAAATTTGTGGGATGAAAGCTTGTTATTTATGTGTCATATTCAAAATAGAATTCTTTATAAGAAAATTGGCAAGACACTTTATGAATTGTGAAAAGATTATTCTCCTAATTTAAAATATTTGAAAGTGTAGGATGTCTTACTAAAGTTATGCTTTCGGATTTTAAGAAAAAAAATTAGCTCTAAAATATTTGATTGTATGCTTATTGGTTATATTAAATATAGCGTTGTATATAGATTTCTTGTATTAAAAAATAATATTTTTTATTGCGACACTATTGTTGAAACAAAAAATGATGAATTTTTTGAACAAAATTTTTCATTAAGAACTAATACAATTTCTTATGCACCTTTTAGTAAAAATGATTTTAAAATACCAAATAATGATTTGAGAAGGAGTAAAAGACCAAGGAAAGAAATTTTTTTTGGTAATGATTTTTAGACTTTTCTTGTAGATAATTATCATTTAATTTATGCTTATGTAATTTCTTCTAAAAAAAGTCATTTTGGAAAAAAGCTTTAAACATATGAGATTCACTTTATTTTATAAAATCAAACCTGAAAATTAATTGATTTACCACTTGGAGTTAAACCAATTGGTTATAATAGATTTTTAAAAGAAAATTTAATCTTGGTGATTTTATTAATAAATATAAAGCTAGGTTATTTGTTAAGGATTTTACTCAAAAATAAAATATTAATAATTTTTATACTTTTGCTCCAATAACAAAAATTTTATCTATTTCTGTTTTAATTGCCTTGGTTTCTATTTATAAACTTGTTGTTTACCAAATGAATGTTAAAACATCTTTTTGAAATGCTAATTTAGAGAAAAAAATTTATATGGTACAACCTGAGGGATGTATTTTTCTTAGTTAAGAAAATAAAGTTTGTAAATTGATTGAATTTATATTTGGCATAAAATAAGCACTAAATTAATGGCATGAGAAATTTGATCAAATTTTTATTAGTAATAGATTTTCTACTTTTGGAGTTAATAAATATGTCTACATAAAAACTATTGATAGTGAATGTATGATTACAAGCTTATATGTTGATGATATATTTATTTTTGATACATGCATTGATGTTGTCAATAAAGTAAAATGTTTTTGAACTTATAAATTTGATATGAAAGATTTGAGAGAAACCAATGTTATTTTAAGTGTTAAAATCATAAGATGTGATAGTGACATAATGCTAACACAAGAGCATTATATTGAGAAGTTACTTAAGAAGTTTGGACATTTTAATGTCACACACATGTTAGTACTTCTTATGATGCTAATGCTTAATTAAAGAAAAATAAAGATGATAGTGTGACCTAGTTTGAGTACGCTTAGCCTATTAAGAATATGATGTATTTGATGAATTATATTTAACATGATATAACTTATGTTATATGTAGATTGAGTATATATATATAAAATCTTAATCAAGATTATTGGACTATCTTGAGTAGAGCAATGAAATATTTGAAAGGTACTATAAACTATGGTATTTTATATAATGGATTTCCTATTGTATTAAAATGATACAATGATGCTAACTGAATCTCAGATTTAGATGAGATAAAAATCTATAACTGGATATGTATTCACCCTTAATGGAGGTACTGTAACTTGAAAATGAGTTAAACAGATAATAATTGCTTAATCTACAATAAAATCAGAATTTATAATTTTAGAGTTGACTAGTAATGAGGCTGAGTAGTTAAGAAACTTCTTAATAGATATTTTGTTAGAAATGAAATTAACACTTTTTGTGTTTATGCATTGTAATTGTTAAGCAGTAATAGCCATTACAAAGTATAAAACTTTCAATGGTAAAAATAGACACATTTGTTTAAGACATGATATGATAAAGTAACAACTTAAAGATGGAATTATGACTGTTAATTTTGTAAAGTCAAAATTGAATTTGGCTAATCCTCTAACTAAGACTTTAGAAAAAAAAAATTAATTAATGCTACGTTGTAGGGAATGGGATTTAAGCTAATTGAGAAAAATCAACAATAATGGCAACCCAATCTATGTGAGTGGCGATTCTATGAATTAAGTTATATAGGTAATAATAAGTTATTTGTTGATAAATTAATAAACTATTAGGATTATTATCCCTCTTATGTCGTGTAAATAGTGTAAGAGTGTAATGAAAAAGAGTTTAAGCTAAACTCTTAATTAATTCCATATTCCTTGTAGGAAGTGTATTAAATTGCAATATATACTTGTTGGAATCACCTATAAAAGTGTGAAATAGGGTCGCTTTTATGAGAATTGTGGTAAAATCTTTATGAATAACCAAGTATGCTCATAGCTTATTTGCGAAATTGTGTTGATTAGCAAAATTGTGGAGATATTTTACATAAAGAATTTTGTGTGCATATAAGTTATAAACTTCACAAAAATTCTTTAAATTATATTTCATTCTTTCTAAGTTTAGGGTTGGATATATATAGTGATATCTCATAAGGTTTTTATCCTACATTGTTTAGGCATAAAAGATGTTAGTACTTTATATAAGCAAACTCATTATGACTTGTTGAAAGCTAGAAAATAAAATGGTTTCGTGTGCACACGAGATCTGACTAAGCCTTGAGAAAAGTTATATGTTTTCAGTTTTTTCACCTTACGAAATTGATCTTTCTAATTGTGCAATCTTTGATTTTGGTAGTTAGGATTTACATTCTGCCATTATCTTCTTACTCTATGCACGAGTATACATGAAGGTTAGGCATAAGTGATATTTTTGTACCTTAATTGTTACATATTGTCAGCTTTTTCATCTTAAAGAATTGGTTTTTGACATTTAAAATATATGTTTTGCCATTATCTTCTTGTTTTGAGTTGTTAGGTTCTTTCTTGCTTTAATTTTCTACATGATATTTTTGTAGCTTGGTGGTTATATATTTTTAACTTTTTTATCTTCAAAAATTAATTTTTGACATTTAAGATATATATTCTGTCATTATCTTCTTCTTTCAGTTGTTAAGGTTTTTCTTCTTTTAATTTTTTGTTCTTCTTGTATCTTTAATTATGCAATCATTGGTTTTGGCAATTAAAATATATATTTTGTCATTATCTTTTTTTTTTTACGTACGAGTATACACGAAGGCTAGACATAAGTAATATTTTTATATCTTGGTGGTTATATGTTTTTACCCTTTTCACTTTCCAAAATTGGCATTTAATTTTGACAATTAAACTCTTTATGTTTTTGAATTTTTTTTTATTGTACAAAAAGTCTATTAAATTTAAGAAATAACCGTTTTAATCTTTTTATATCAAATTTTAAATTTTGAAGAGACATAAATTATCCTCAAGACAGCATGACGCCTTTGAATACTTTTTCAGTTTCAATTTTCGACCGCATTTCAGCACACTAAAATGTTTTGCATGCAATAAAATGATATTCGAAAGAAAGGATTTAAAAAACGAGTGAGTTGACAGTAGACACTCAGCCGAGTGAGAGGGGAAAAAACGTGAGCCGGCGCCCATTTCAATCGAGACGAGATAAGGTTTTTACTTCACACTTCCTCTAATCTCCTCTCCTCCCAATCTCGTGGCTCTTAACTCCCTGTCCCTGTCCCTCTCTCTCTTCCTCTTCTCTTTTCCGTTCTCTTCCCTCCCTCAGTTGAAACAGAAAAAAAAAAAAGCAATCTTCTTGCGTTAAACCCTAAGCAATGACCGTATCTCTCCAAGCTTCACTTCTCTGCAATCCTTCTCCTTTTCTTCCCAAACGAAGCTTTCACCGTTGTTATTTTCTTTCTTTCAGTCCATCTTCATTTCCCAAACTCTCTCGACCATCCTCAGCTTTCTTAAATTCCCGATTTTATTCCCGTCCTTTTTTAGCCTTTTGCACATTGCATCCCGAGAACGTTAACTCCGAGTCCAAATTGGATACTCATGTGGAAGATTCCAAAGCGTTAGTTTCGGATTTTGACGGCCCGACAATCGATGGACTCGAGAATGAGAGTGAGGGAAATGAAGTGAATAATAACGGCGGGGAAACTGAGAATGTGGCGGAGAGCGAGGGGCACAATGATAAATTAGTGGAAAACGAAGGGGCCAAAAGCAAAATTCCGGCAGTGGTGTTTTTGATGGGAGTTTGGGCCATGATAAGAAACGGAATGGAGAGATTGGCGGCTTTGGATTGGTTCAGTTGGTGGCCCTTTTGGCGTCAGGAGAAACGGCTTGATCGCCTGATTGCCGAAGCCGACGCAAATCCCAAAGATGCCGCTAAAGAAAGCGCTTTGTTAGCTGAGCTTAATAAGCACAGGTTTTCTTTTCGGTTAAGTATTGTTGATTAATTTTAAAACATTGTTTATCTCTCTAATCTTTGATTTTATTCTATTTTAAAACAGTCCCGAGTCCGTGATTAAGCGATTTGAGCAAAGGGATCATGCGGTAGACAGTAAAGGAGTTGCCGAATATCTTCGAGCTCTGGTGGTCACTAATGCCATTGCTGAATATCTTCCGGATGAACAAACTGGAAAGCCTTCTAGTCTTCCTACTTTGGTAAGAAGGCCCTGCTTCGTTGCTTTTCTTTTATATGCACTTGATTTAATTTTTTTTATTCATTTTAAAATTTTCAAACTTGGGCTGACCAATGTTATCTCTTTGGACATTCGAGTTCTGCCGGACCCATCAATTGATGGATAAGTACTTTTGTTATGTTTGAAATATTTTTGATGGATAAGTACTTTTGTTATGTTTGAAATATTTCTATATACATCTATGCTTCAATATTACCAAAAAGACGTCATATAACTAATCCTTTAAAATTTCAATGTAGTTGGAAGAATTGAAGCAGCGTGCATCAGGGAATATGAATGAGCCCTTTCTAAGCCCTGGAATTTCTGAGAAGCAACCGTTGCATGTGGTGATGGTAAGGCTCTATTAACTATTGCCATGTATGAGAGAGAATATGGTCTATACAAGTACTTTCTTTTGGCATAGTCTATGCTTCTACTATGATACATTTACTATCAAAACCCGTCCACAATTTGGATTATTCTGCACTGCCTGTTAGAATACCTTCTCAAATATTTTGACAGTGATGCTGTTTTCTTTATTAGGTTGATCCTAAAGTTTCAAATAAATCACGGTTTGCACAAGAGCTTATTTCAACTATCTTGTTCACGGTTGCTGTAGGATTGGTTTGGTATGGATTCTCCTGATTGTAGTATACTCTCTCGCCTTCTCTTTCTCTCTCTCTCTCATGCACACACAGATACACACTTCTCCATTGTTGAACCAGCCAGTTCTTGCTATTTACCTGCAGTCATAATTTTATTTAACATGAAAGCTATGTTCAGGTTAATGGGTGCTGCTGCACTTCAGAAGTATATAGGAAGCTTGGGTGGAATAGGAACTTCAGGTGTTGGATCAAGTTCCTCTTATGCCCCAAAAGAATTGAACAAAGAAGTGATGCCAGAGAAGGCAAGTATTTCAATTTCTCTGCTTGCAGTCTAAATCCAGACTATGGCATTTAGTTGCATTTGTATTTTAAATATGTGTGGGTGGAAATGATTAAGGAGATTATATTGCATTGGTTGAGTAAGATATGAAAACTTTGGGCAATGACTGAAAATCTTAACCAAAAAGCATTCATGACTAAAGGGAAACTATTGTAATTTGGTAAAAATTTATTCTTAATTAGATAAATGATGATCAAGGGCCTGTTTTGCAGGGCATGCATGTGAAATGAAACTTTAGTTTTAATATGAATGGGCCAGGGCCATATATTGGAAATTTGATAGATAATCTAAGCCTTGTTTTCTTGTTTTCTTTTCCTCATTAATTGATTTATTTGCAGAATGTTAAAACATTTAAGGATGTAAAAGGCTGTGATGATGCAAAACAAGAGCTTGAGGAAGTAGTGGAATACCTCAAAAACCCGTCAAAGTTCACCCGCCTTGGGGGGAAGTTGCCAAAGGTTTGTGCAGGATAATATGGCATTTGAAATAGGTTTAATTCTGCCTGGTTTACTCCATATGTTGGACTTTCTTGTGGATTTCTAAATTTCCGATTTTCTCAAAGGCATCCTATGAAAATGGGAATATAGAATAGAAAAGATAAGAAAGCTGTATATGCTAGGAGAACCACATATATCAAGATATGGTCAGGAGTCCTGTCAGCTTTGTTTTGCTCAGGTGGTTGGGTAGGTGGGTGGGTAGGGGATTGGCAAGAGATTCTAGGTTCTTCTCTTCATGCTTTCTTGTATAGGGGGGAGAAATTTTAACAACTCATTTAGGGTTTTTTCGTCATTATTTAGTCCATAGCAAGTGATTCTGCATGTTTACGTGAATAATGAGTGCACAAACTTGCATGCTATGATTCATTCACTTCTGGAATAAAATGGTTTCTGTGGTAATTTTTTGTTTGTATTATCTTATTGGCTACATAATTGCAGGGAATCCTTTTGACTGGAGCACCTGGAACTGGAAAAACTCTACTAGCCAAGGTGAGGTTTTCCTTCTATGTTCTCATTAACGGTCACTTACATATGTCAGGAAGTTTTACTGCTTTACATTTCAACTTAACCACATACAAGCTCTCTTTGCTGCTAGTGGTTCAACGTGGTCTTTTGAAGCATGTTGCATGTGCATATATCCATACGTAACTTTTAATAATAGATATGATTTGTTGAACCTTAAGGCTATTGCTGGGGAAGCTGGGGTACCTTTCTTCTATAGAGCAGGATCTGAATTTGAGGAAATGTAAGCCATCTTCTCATTTCATCTATGCTTGGCAACCCTTTCTGTAGATTTCTATGTGCTTAGTGTATACTATATGCATGGTTTTGGGGATTACGTGCTGTTATAAATGTTGAGTCTGACATTCTCTTTCTCTGTGGTAGGTTTGTTGGTGTTGGTGCTCGACGTGTGAGATCCCTTTTCCAAGCAGCTAAGAAAAAGGTTGATCTTTATAATTGCTTGATACCATGTTGCAAGCACACCTAGAATTCTATTTTATTCAGTATTTTAGTTGGTTTAGGATCATATTTTCTTTATTTTATTTAGTTTGGAATTTTTTTTTATCTTTATTAGGATTTTAGTATATTAAGTTTTTATTTATCAGAAGCAAGATTCTAATCTTTCTATTTGATTAGGATTTATCCTAGCTAGTATAAATAGGTGAACTAAATAGGGGATTATTATTATTATTATTATTTTGTTTATTTTGAATTTTTATTTAAGAGGTTTTTTTAGAACTCAATTATCCTTTTATTGTTCCAAACACAATTAACCCTATTCAAGCCTTAATTGTTGAGTTCTAATTGCCCTAAAACCTTTTCGGCTATATCAAGTGGTATCAAAGCAAATGATCTTACTATCTTGATTTTTAGCTAGGAGATTATGGTTGGGGTCGAGTTAGAGTCAACCAGTCCCAACAAGCTGAATTGGTTGCGATGCACAGAATGATTGATGACTTGACTTGGGTTGTGCAAGCCTTGCAGCGTCAAGAATCAATGGAAGCTTGAATTGAGAATTTGGAAGGTGATCACAACTCCCCTGAGATTCAAGATCTTGAGGATGATGATGAATTTGAGAACGAGAACCCCTTTCATGAAGTTGGACTTGCAAATCAAGCGACCAGAGTTGGATTGGAGGGTCGGTTATTACACGTTCTTGATTTAACTGGTGGAGTAAAGGTTGAAGTAGTTAACTTTCATGAGAAGTTACATACGAAGGATTATTTGGATGGGCAAGAGTTGGAATCAATTTATGATGAAGAGATAGAGGAAATTGATATTCATCTTGCACAAGGTGAGTCCTTGGTGATACGAAGACTGATGACCAGAATGGCTAGCACCTACATCTATAAAAAAAGTAAGAAGTTTTCATGAATTGGAATCTTTTTGTTGGCGATTCATTTGAAATTTTAGTTATATTATGAGTCCTATAACTGAATCTTTGAAGAAAGGTGGATTTGAGTGGTCACATTTTGCACAAAAAGCCTTGGAAAAAGTGAAAGCTTTGATTACCAAAACCCCAATTCTTGCACCACAAGATTTTGAGAAGTTATTTGTTGTTGAGTGTGATGCTTCACATCTAGGAATTGGAGCAGTTCTTGGCCAAAATGGAAGGCTTGTAGAGTTTTTTAGTGAGAAGTTGATGGACTCTAGATGACATTATTCGACTTATGACCTAGAGTTCTACACTTTGGTAAGGGCTATTCGTCATTGGTAGCACTACTTGGCTTACTGTGAGTTTGCCATTTATTTTGACCATCAAGCTTTAAGGTACTTGCATTCACAAAAAAAGCTTAATGATCGACATGCTAAGTGGAGTTCTTTCCTTGATGAATTTAATTTCTCACTAAAATATAAATGTGGACAGTCTAATACTATGGTTGGTGCTTTGAGCAGGTGATATGTACTATTATCAGTTATGAGCACTCAAGTAATAGGCTTTAAGGAACTTAAAAATCAGTATGGTTCTGATCCTTATTTCAACAAGATAATACTTGATTTGCAAGGCTCATCACAAGTTGGAAATTTACCTTATAGATCGCATGAAGATTATTTATTCAAAGGTAACCAGTTGTGCATTTCAAAAGGATTTTTGAGGGAGTAAATTATTAGAGAACTTCATAGGAATGGTTTCGGAGGACATTTTGGTAGAGACAAGACTTTGGCAATGGTTGCTGATTGTTGTTGTTGGCCAAAAATGCATTGAGATGTGGAAAGGTTGGTGAAAAGATGTTCAGCTTGGTTATTTGGTAAAGGCAGTGCTCAAAACACAGGTTTGTATGTTCTTTTACTTGAGCCAGATACACCAGGGATTCATTTGAGTATGGATTTTGTCTTGGGACTTCCAAAGATGGTAAAAAGGTTTTATTCTTTGTGGTGGTGGATCGTTTTTAAAAAATGGTGCACTTTATTCTGTGTTTTAAGGCTTCTAAGGCTGCTTATATTGCTGAATTATTTTTTCGTGAGGTTGTAAAACTACATGGTATTCCAACTTCCGTTGTTTTTGATAGAGATGTGAAGTTTATGGGACATTTTTTGAGAACTTTGTGGAGGAAATTTGAGACAGAATTAATGTATTCTAGTGCTTGTCCCACAAACAGATGGTCAAACAAAAGTTGTGAATCAAAGTTTGAGTACTATGTCAAGATGTCTTATTCAGAACAACCCACAGACTTGGGATCTAGCCATTCCGTAAGCTGAATTTGCCTACAACAATTGTGTTTAATTGAAGCACAAAGAAGACACCATTTGAGTCTGCATATGGATTAAAACCTCAACATGTGCTTGATTTGGAGCCATTACCACAAGAAGCTAAAGTGAGTGATGAAGGGGAGTTATTTGCTTATCACAATGGGAAGATTCATGGAGAGGTAAAAGCTGCCTTAAAAGCCAGCAATGCAGCATACTCTTTTGCTGCCAACCAACATCGTCGTAAGCAATAACTTGAGGAAGGTGATCAAGTACTTGTGCTCGAGGCTAGAAAGATTTCCTAAGGGTACTTGTCACAAGCTCAAGTCTAGAAAGTTTGGACCTTGTAAGGTGGTAAAGAAAATTAGTTCAAATGCCCACTTAATTGAGCTGCCACCTGAGTTACAAATCAGTCCTATTTTCAATATTTTGGACATGGATCTAATGGTACTGCATCTACTATAAACAATCAAGTTCAGCACCTTCCAATTGCTAAGGCTGAAGTTATTGAAGAAGTGTTAGATGTAAAAGAGGTTTGATCTAGATGAGGGAACCTATATAAAAGATTTTTGGTAAAGTCGCTTGGTAAACCTGTTAATGAAAGTACTTGGATTGGTGAAGAGGAATTGAAATGAATGGATTCAGACATCTACGAGGAGTATGTCAAGGCCTACTTGTCGAAGCTGAGTCTTTTCTAAAGGGGAATGATGCAAGCATGTCTAGAATCCTATTTTATTTAGTATTTTAATTGATTTAGGATTTTATTTTCTTTATTTTATTTAGTTTGTGATTTTTTTTCTTTTTATCTTTATTAGGATTTTAGTATTTTAAGTTTTTATTTATTAGGAGTAAGATTTTGATCTTTCTATTTAATTAGGATTTATCCTAGCTAATATGGATAGGTGATACCAGATAGGGGATTATTATTATTATTTTTTGTTTATTCTAAATTTTTATTCAAGAAGTTTCTTTAAAATTCATTTATTTTTCTATTGTTCCAAACACAATCAACCCTATTCAAACCCTAGTTGTTGAATTCTAATTGCCTAAACCTTTTCGATTACATCATACTATGTCCATAATACCTTTTGACGATGTCATTAACAATGTTTCATATTTAATATTTTATTTTGGCCATGTCACCATCCTATGTTATTTAGTATTTTAGTTGGTTGAGGATTTTATTTTATTTTTTATTTAGTTTGGGATTTTTTTTATCTTTTTCATTTATTGGAAGTAGGATTCTAATATTTCTATTTGATTAGGATTTAGTATAAATAGGTGATCCTAGATAGGGGATTATTATTATTTTTTTGTTTATTTTAAATTTTTATTTAACAGGTTTCTTTAAAACTCAATTATCTTTCCAAACACAATTAACCCTATTCAAGCCCTAATTATTGAGTTCTAATTGTCCTAAACCTTTTCAGCTACATTATACAATGTCCTCCATACTTTTGACCATGTCATTAACAATGTTTCATAGGCCCCTTGCATCATTTTCATTGATGAAATAGATGCTGTTGGATCCACACGAAAACAATGGGAAGGCCATACCAAAAAAACACTACATCAGCTACTTGTCGAAATGGATGGTTTTGAACAGAATGAGGTATATTTAAACAAGTTTGCTATATCAACAATTCCTTTTTGCATTTTTGAATTTGTTTAACCTCTGTCTATCTCATAGGGAATAATTCTGATGGCTGCAACAAATCTACCTGACATTCTTGATCCAGCTTTGACAAGACCTGGTAGATTTGACAGGCATGTAAGTACTCCAATCATTAGTGTTTTGTTGAGTCTAGGGGCTTGGGACTTTATGTGGAAAGTTATTCTTGGAGGAAGTGAAGATGACACAATAGAGTTGGTTCCTTAATCAGATACGGTCCCCACTTCCTTGCGCAGATTTTTGCTCTTTATCAGAAACTGTTCTCCAGTTTGTGGTACTTAAGTCATTGAAGTGTTCAGAATACAAATTTTCATTTCCCAAGGACTTGCTATGTAATTTGAGTTGAATTATTACTTCATCTGCCAATCCTTGTCTGAATCTTTTACCTCTTTGTTCTGATGCCAGTGAATTCTTGTCTGTAGACTACATTTATTCTTTTAGGATAGGATTTGCTTTTTTCACCTTCTATTCTCTTGTAGAGAGAAGACTCATAAAGCCCATTTTTAGATTGTTGTCCCAAATCCAGATGTGAGAGGTCGTCAAGAGATTTTGGAGCTCTATCTGCAAGATAAACCTATGTCTGATGATGTAGATGTTAGAGCAATTGCCCGTGGTACTCCTGGATTCAATGGAGCAGGTAAGCTTTCCTGCATAAACTGAAACTAGTTTCTAGTTCCTGCCAACAAACATTCTTATTTTCTTTAAGCTTTGTCCTGTCATCCTGTCAATCAGATCTAGCAAACTTGGTGAATATTGCTGCAATCAAAGCTGCAGTTGAAGGTGCAGATAAGTTGACTTCTGCACAGTTGGAATATGCTAAAGACAGGATACTTATGGGTACTGAGCGTAAAACAATGTTTTTATCGGAAGAGTCAAAGAAGGTATTGATGTTTTTTATCAAACACTTTAGGGTAGAATCGAAGTTGTGGCTTGCTTGGAATGTCTTGAATCATTAATTCTGTAACTAATGTAAACAAAGATGTAAAGGACCCATTATGATACTAAGAAAAGATTCCAGAGAAATCTACAAATTAGGACACACAGATAAATGGCTACAGTTTAGGATTGCTCTCCGTGTTTAAACTGTAACATAAGATGTTTCTTGATGTGATTCCTGTCGATAAATGACCAATTGCTTAACAAAGTTCTTTTTCAGCTGCAACTAGTAGTATTTTTGTTCTGTTTGTGCACAGTGTCAGTGTACAAATTAGGTCATTAGATTTTCAAGATAAAGTTTTATTGTTATCCAAAATGGATCATCTTATTTGCTGACATTATCACACATAATCAGCTCACTGCTTATCATGAGAGTGGCCATGCAATTGTTGCTTTCAACACTGAGGGTGCAGATCCAATCCACAAGGCAACAATCATGCCCCGTGGATCTGCTCTGGGAATGGTTACCCAGCTTCCTTCAAGTGATGAGACTTCAATCAGTAAGAAGCAATTATTAGCTCGTCTTGATGTTTGTATGGGAGGAAGAGTTGCAGAAGAGATCATTTTTGGTCGGGATCATATCACAACTGGGGCCAGTAGTGATCTGAACACAGCTACAGAGCTTGCTCAATATATGGTATATTTCATGTCTGTTCACTCTGAAAAATGGTGTCCCTTTTATTTAATTTCTCATTTCTTATGCTAGGTATCGAGCTGTGGGATGAGTGATGCAATTGGACCAGTTCATATCAAAGAGCGACCAAGTTCAGAAATGCAGTCTCGCATTGATGCTGAAGTATGTTTCTGCAAGCTGGAGTTCTGAATGGTTAATTGTCTTTTCAATCATAATATGTTTTATTTTGTTATGCAGGTGGTGAAGCTTCTAAGAGAAGCGTATGATCGTGTGAAAGCCCTGTTAAAGAAGGTTTGTTCATGAAACCCCTTTGTTTTGAAATTTTCTTATTGATAAGAAACCATATTATATAACAATGAATTAAAATGGAATATGGATGTAGGATCCTAGCTTCTAAGATTTCAGGCATCCATATGTAGAAAAATATATGTTTCTGTATGTTGTTCATCCATGGAGTAATTTTTAATGGAGTCGTATCTTAGCTGAGGTAATAGTTTCAACTGCCAGTAGAAAAGTGAACCACATCGTAGTAATCAAATTTCATAATGTAAATTTTCTAGTTGAACATTTTGTTTGACATCTTTTTTCAGCAAGAGAATGCATTGCACGCACTAGCGAAGGTGCTTTTGGAGTATGAAACACTTAGTGCGGAAGAAATAAAGCGCATTCTTCTCCCATATCGGGAAGGAGGATTGACTGAGCAACAAGAACAACAGGAAGAGGGGGAGCTAGTATTGGCTTAAAACTAAAACTCACATCTGTAATCTACTTGACTGTCGGGGAAGCTCTGTACAGTGTATTTTAAGCACTACAGGTGATTATTTGTAAAATTTCTTGCAATTTTTTCCCCACCATTCTCATAAGACGTGCGATGGGAACTCTGTTTAGACACGAGGGACAAGGCACCCATCAGAATTGATCCGAGTCCTATGCTGCCCTGCGTCCAGAAACACCCAAGACCAACAACCATCTTGTGGAATTCGTGAAATCATGTAGTATTTGTACTGTTACCCCATTCGGGGTGAAATTTTGAGTTGTGTTATCATAGAAGTGGCATTTATGGTATACTTCCAACTTCTGAGAAGCTCATATTTAGTACCCAGTGTCATTCTTCCTAATCTGTTAACAGCAATTTTAATCTGTTCGCTTATCCATGGATGTTATCTTGTGTGTTGTAGCTTCAAAGTCACTGAAAGCCCAAGGCTCAACTTTGAGGTTAATTACGCCTTAGGGCATGGGCCCAGCTCCGACGACATGACTAAACCTTTCTATGCTTTCAACAGGATGGTTGGTACTTCAGCAGCATCAAACAAGCAAGTATTCAACTATCACTATAGTCTATAGACAGCATTTTCCACCAAGCTTTGACCAAACCCGCAACTAGAAACTACCACTATCACGAGACAACCCAGCATTGAAAAACCAACTCTTTTTCAGCACCTTTATGTACAACCATTAAATACCACAATCACAAAACTCTGGATCAGATGGACAGCAACCTAGTCCCCTCTTTTTCCTTCTTTTTCTCTTCTTTTTCACTTTTTTTCATCCTTCAACAGAAGAAACTCTTATAACAATTGTGGTTCTTGATCGACTAAAGACAGGAAAATCCAGCACATAATGTTAAAAACAAAAGGAGAGAGCATAACAAATAGAAGAAATGCAATGTAAGTGTCTGGAAGATGGAAGACCCACAATTGCCAGTCCATCTCTAAAGCCTCCAAGATACGAAAGCCTCCGAAGCTTCATCCATGGCAACTATAGCTACCACCTTATCTCCTCAAACCCAACATTTAGAGATTGATGGGCTCTGTCCGGTCCTGCACTGCTAGTCCCTCTGAGACATCTGCAAGTGATTTAAGATTGCACTTGATCAAAGCTTCCACAAAGTAGCATGTCTCATCCTTGGTGTTGCCCTCAGGCACATCCACCACAAAGGATTCAATGACCAGAGTCCCAGGTCTTCCATCAATGATCTCTGGATGGAGGGAAACGATTGAAGAGTAGTTCTGGATAAAAATAAAATAAGGTCAAAGAGATCAAACAGGGCCCAGATCTTCATTTTACAACAGTTAACACTTAAAATTGAAACCTCATGACCTTAAGTTCTCACTAATGAACAAAAGCTCGTGAAAATTCAGTTGTTTTTGTTGAAACTAATCCATCATTCAGACATAATCTTTGTACCAAGAAATTCAGGAAACCAAACTTAGCTGCAGACCTAACTACCTGATTTTCAAGAGAAAAAACATCCTTGTCGAAAATTTCGATAACTTTCATGAACTTGACATTTAGTATACAATTAGCAAATACTTTATCTAGCAGAACATCGAGAAATAAACTGCAAGTAACAGCACTTAAATTCCTTTGTTCTGAAAATGAAAGGATTTAAGATGAAAGACATAGATGATATTGAATGTTCATGGAGGACAAATCATATAAGACAAAAAGGTTGAAACAGAAAAAAGAGGAGAGATTCCGTACCTTAAGTCTGTGATCGCCACCAACAATCCTGATGCTGAGGATATGCTCGTCGTCATCAAGGAGTTCCAGTCGTTCAGTACTTGTAGTGGCCGGAAGCCCTGACTTGACATCAACTTCTCTAAGACTCCCAATCTCCAGGTTTCCCTGCACAACACACCTGCTGACAAAGGGTTTATACTTCTGTGGTTGGTCAAATCTCCTCACCAAAGACCAAACCTGTAAAAAAATACAAAGCAATACAAATTTCAGAGAAAATTATGCATATTCTGACAAAAAGGAAAAAAGGTTCGACCAAGGTCACACAAAAAAATAAGAATCAAGCCCTACAATTTGTGGAGGAATGAATTATTTCAACATGAACTGAATATCCACAATTAGTTATCTACCTTTCCCCTTTCTTTGGCATATTCTTACTCCAGTGGACACCTCTAAAATACTAACCATTCATTTGCTAAGCGCCAAATGGAGATAGAAAAGGAAAAAAAAATGTTGGAGCTTATGCTTCACGTCATTCGTATATCTAGGAAATGCAATAACCAACAAGACAAGTTGCATTTAATTCAATTAAATCTTAAGCCCATTGTTCACAAATAAAGCAACTACATATACAGTGGAAATGAATTTATACATAACCTTTGGACTACCCAATCAATCAAAAGCAACAAACTTGTTCAAATGGTTTCAGAGAGTAGTAAAGAGATTAATATTTTTCACAAAAAAAAAAAATGATAATAGTTTGAATCTCATACATAGGATTTAGCAATACAAAAAAAACCCGAGAAACAAACAACTTCAAAACCTAAAGTTTTGAGCTGCTCCTTAACATTTAAACTTAATCAAGATGCTCCCTGTTTTGCCCGCAAAAGATCAGTTTGAATGTCAGATTTCAAAATAACCTTATCTCACTCAACAAATTACAAAACATGCAAAAGTTTCTTCCATTTTGTCAATCATATTTCTCAACAAGAAGTCGGTGAAACTTAGGAAGAAGTTTATGTAAACCAGTATAGCAAATGCAACAAATTAGATTCAATCTTCTTTCTCTCTTTCTTTTTATAAAGGGATAGCTAATAACTTCAATAAAAACAATCAAGATTTTCAAGCACTGAGAAAGAAGAACCACCACAGATCAAGATTAATCCTTCTCGAGAACAAAAGTCAAACATTGAAAAAAAGCTCACTCAGCAAACATGCAAAATAATCACAAGACAAAAAATTTTGTTTGATCCAAAAGCTATCAGAAGAGAGAGCATAATAAAACCTTGGAAATAAATCAAAAAGAAATAGTGAAAGAAAAAAAGGAAACGAAATAGGCGATGGTGAGTGAGAGGAATCTTGAGAAAGACCAGTTGAAAATCAAATCCATACAAAACAGTAAACATAGAGAGAGAGAGAGAGAGAGGTAAGGAGAGAGAGTTACGAGAGGAACAGGAGCCTTGATGTGCTTAACGAGAGCTGAACTACACTGATTCTCCCCTATCTCATGCCTATGATGTCTCCTTACATACTCACTCGGCGCCACCGCCGCCCCACTCCCAAATCCATTGCTATTACCATTCATTTTTTCTTCTTTTCTCTTTTTATCAATCCAAACACGCTCGCTTCTCTCTTACGCGACAACAACAAACAAAAAACAAATACTCTGCCTAGTCTCGTCCGCCGGCGACCAGAGCTCCAATCACCGACCGGACTGATTTTCCGACGAAGCTTCTAGGAATTGCCTTAACTGGTTTATCTCAAGAGAGAGAAGAAGCAGAAAAGCCTGTAAGTCACCGCCATAAAAAGAGAGAGAAGCTAACTGACTTCTTCCACGTCTAAGACCCCATATCATCTATCTCATCCCCTGATATAATAAAAATAAAAAATACGCACCCAATTTAAACTCCTCAACTTTCTTTTTTAATTTTTTTAACATGTTTTATTACTGGATCAGCTCTTCCCTTTGACATAGGATTAAGGATGTTATTACGAGAGTTGCCATGAGTTTTGTCTGCTTCTGGTTTTGTCCTTTCTCCTTGACGCAAATGCCCCTAGTCTGTGTCAGTTGTGTTAAAAGAGGAAACGCTTACTGGCCGTTGGAATTTTAATAATTTTACTGACCCCTTTATTTTAGGGAAAATCGTCGGCTCATTTATGGTCCATCTACTATAAGACCATCCTCATTTATGGTTTTGCTGCTTCTAAATTATATTGATAGATGCCAATTTTGACCTTTTCTTATATTTATTGCTTTCACAGCCTTGGAGAAAAGGACATTATATTTTTTTTAAGTTTTATTATTATTTTTTAATTATTTAAATACAAATAAAATCGTATTCAAATAATGAGAGAAACTCATTCAATTTCTTGATTTGCCATTTATCATCACTGTTTAATATCATTCCAAATTATTAGGAGGCATTGGCTCAGCTTTCCACTTGCTCCAAAAGCCAATATTTATTAAGACATATGGAGTATATAAATGGAGGCCAGGAGCCACCAATCAAATTAATATATTTGTGTCATTTCAGCTCAATGCAGTGGTTGAACAACAAGAGCTTAGACAGATACGGATTCATAAATTTATTTAAATGATGTTATAATAAAAATATAATAATAATTAAAAATATTAATATTTAAATTATAAAAAATATATTAATTTTTATATAATATTTAAATATTAATATATAAATTATTTTTAAATTTATTTTGACTAGAAATTTTTTATCTCACTCTTTATAATAATTTTTAAAAAATTAATAAATTTATTAGTATAATTAACTACGTAAATTTTAACATAAATAATATAATAAATATAATTTTTTTTACATTTCAATAAATAAGTAGTATCATAAGACACCGCCTGTCTTAATGCAAGTCTGTCCTGGGTTTAAGTTCAAAAGGTGGAGTGCAATTCTTAAGCATTAAATCATAATTTTTGGAACAAAATTTGGATACAAATATTTAAGGTTTTATCATTTATTTTTTACAATAAATAATAATAATAAAAAACAAACCAACTAAAAGTGCTGATGAAATTAAATTACCTGCCTGTCGTTATCACAACTTGCACGTTAGTCATTGCACACTTCTCGAACGTTCATTTTACTGTCAACATTTTTGCTTAATCAAATAAGAATTACTATGATTACAGCTGAAGTGCGGCACCTACTTCGGTCCACAGAGACCGTACTAGGCAAAAGGAAAGCTACTTCCACCACGCTCCTCGGATGAGGCGGTGCAATTCAATCTCGAACCGCAGCAGCCAGCATTTGCAAGATGCTACCCTTTCAGGGACATTGTGCGGTGTGAAATCACTCCTCTAAACTGCGCAGCCACGGCTTAAATCCGCATATTTCTAAACAAAGATTAGAGAGTGCGACATACGCTTTGTGAAGGAAAGTGAGCAGCATTTTGTCGCTTTCTTGAAAAAAGAACTTTACATCTCAAGGAAGCGTGCGTGGAAGGTCAGCTGCACATGACGAAGTAGGACGTTCACAATCGCCGCAGGCACCAGACCGCAAAATTTCGCCGCTCGAAATAAAATTAGTAAGGAAATCTTATTAATTACTTAATACTATTTATTTTTCTTATTTGGACTTGTAAATGCAAATAATTGAAAGTATACACCTTTCTTGTCAATGGAATTTGAGATTCAAGACGTCTCTACGCAACCCATATCTATTAGAGTTGATTATCGCAAAGCAATTGGTTATTTAGGTGTTTGAACTTATGTAATAGTTTCATGGTGATACAATCGAAATCGCACAAAATTTAAAAGCACTTGTTGCCAACGAGGCTATGTTGTCTTACGCAGCAATAAATCTAAGAAGTTAAAGTTTACGTACCACAATATGCCACCCAATTTTGTACGTAATTTAACAAATGTTTTTATATAAAACATTTTTAAAAAACTAAATTATTAAAAAATTTAAAATATTTTTTTATTTTTTTATTATATTCAATATTTTTTTATTTTTAATTAAATAACTTATTATAATTAATGATTAATTCATCATTAATAATTCAATCATTATTTATCATTTTATATTTATATGACATTAATATGATTTTAAATAAAAATATCATATTATGATGTCATTATGTTATATCAGTATGTTATGTTATTATTTATTATAATCTGTCAATATTACACATTAATATCATATGATATAAATGTGACAAGTGTCTTTTTAATGAAAAATAATTAATCAATTATTAGTTATAAAAATATATTTAATTTAAAATAAAATATAAAAAAACTTGATTGAATATAATAAAAGAATAAAAACTTATTTAAATTTTATGAAATAGTCGAAAAGTTTTTTATTTTTAATAAAAGTATTAGATATTTTCTTAAATAAGAAAAAGAAATAGAAAAAAGAAGCCCAATCACAAGTGAAGAGAAATGAAGTGTGACAACATTATTAATACTATGATAACAGTATTATTCTCTTAATGGTAGTTCCTTTTTTTTTATTTATTTATTTTTGGATAAAAAAACAAATAGCACTTGTAGGACGAAAATAAAATCTTAGTCCGGCATCACATTTTCATTCCCTATTCTATCCCTACAAAAAAGTTACCTTTAATTGCTTAAAAGATACAACATTAAATTCCGGTTTATATAATTGGCCGAGAAGGAAAACAAAATTACGAGTTTGCACAAGAGGCCCAATGAAGAAACGGGACAAGCAAAGCAGCGGCAGGCTAAGGTGAGAAGCATTATCAAAGCGTAAAAGCATGATTCATATGGAAAATGATTGAGAAGGAAAGCATATCTTATATTCTCAAGCTAGATTCCGTCACCCCCACCTAATCTCTTCTCCCACTCTTCCCTTTCGCTTCTTTTCAGTTTTTTTAATTTTATAAATGAATTAGTGGCTAATAAAGTCCCCAATTCAAGCCAATAATCAGCCACATGTGTGCTTTGATTATTTACTTAAGTTATGCAAGTAACATAATTCTAATATATTTGCTTTTCTTAATTTGAGCCACACAATCAACAAAAAATCAGATGCTATTTTTAGATATAAAAACAAAGGGACAAAAGTTATTGGGTGAGTATAAATAATTTGGGAATGATAGACCTTATGTATCAAAATTAATTTCTTCTTTTCTAATATTAAGGTGAATTTTGAATCATAAATCAGAAATTTTAAATTTATTTGTGTTAATATAAGGTTGAATTCTATCTATATGTGTGAATTGAACATGATAAAATTTGTTTATCAAACTTGGTTTCAACAGAAAAGAGTAATCACGCACTCAAATTTAACTCAATCATTGTCAAATTAAGAATTAAAATAATAAATGGATGGGTCTGGAAATTCAGAGGAAATGGTAGTGCATGAATTTGTAGGGGTGATTGGTTGTTCATGGCTCTTGGGCAAAGATGAAGGTTTTGTTTTGATTTTGTGAGTGAATATGATAGCCAACATCAGCTCTCAAAATAAATAGATTGACAATGATAATTCTGCTTCAAACGACTGAATTGTGGCGGTTATAAACCTTATTAATGATAATAGACCTCAGTACTTAGTTCAAAATATGATTATTTATTTATTTTTGTTGAGGGGGGGTGGGGTGGGGGTTTGTTCCATCATCTAATGGCAATGATCAGACCTTGACAACCCTGATATGTTATCATAATGTTTATAATACTAGTTTTTAATTAAGCTTGCAACAAATCCATCGCTTTCTCAGTCTCTCTGCTTCTCCCAAATAATAGAAGATTGTTTTCAGGATGTCAAAAAGAAATGTCACTTCATTTATACTTTTACCTCCCTCCTATGGCTAAAGTTTTTCTATCACATGAAATGGGACCTTTTGGAAGCTCTGGATTTCATAAATTAATGTTGGATTTTCCATTTCAATTTTTCAAGTGTCAACTAACCATGGAAACTTATGTTGCAAGGTCTTGCCAGATAATTCTGGAAGTTGGCAGAGTGGCAGAGGTTGGGATGATTTTAGGCCATGATGTTGTCTTTAATCTTCCCGCACAAAACTAGAAATGCTACTCTTACTGGTTTCAGCTAATATTTTCCCTTTCCTTCTTGTAACAGTATACTGTATTACAAGGTTAAGTTATCAGAGAGATCACGAACTTTAACTCAGGTTCATCATTGAAGCTACTTGGTAAACAATTCTGATGCGATTGGATGAATATGGACGACTTCATTGATCTGAGTTGGTTTAAATCTGGTTTTGCTGCGAGCAAAGATTATTGTCAGAAGAGAATGCTGTGTTAAAGTTTGCTCATGTGATTTCATAAGAGTCCAAAAAATCTACTTATAGTCATGCTATTGTGTTGTAAATTTCATATGTTCGGCTAATTATAACATTGCCCATTTTGATTATGCTAAGTTCAAAGAAACAAAGATCACTACATGGATTCCCATGTGCCTTTGTTACACGTTTTGTCCGAACAACTCTTTGAGTTTATGGGAAAACCATAATTTCTTTAATTGTGTCAATGGCAACACCTGAAATTGTTTCATTTAGAAAGTGAGCAATTAAAAGACAAGATGAACATGTCATTAGGGACCCAAATTTCTGAAACCTGCTTTTAGATTGATTGATAGTGTTGTAACTGTTGGGATCAACCTGTCTGGCAAAGCAGGGGTAAGCCCCTGTTCAGGAAGTAAAAGTACTTGGATTTCTGCAGCCATATGTAAACCATACATAATGGTATCAATTTGTACAAGAGTTGAAGCAACATTTCACAAAGCAAAAAAACATTAATCCCTCTGACGTTGGGCATGTGCTCTCATTTTCAGATACAGACACTTGTCACATTCTGGATTCCTAAATGTGGGGATGCAGGAAATGCATGTGTGCAGCATGGGGTACATGGCAGTGAAAAGTAAAGTACTTGTCTTCCA